CTGAGTCAGGAAAGCTGAAACTTATGTGGAAGCATCCTTGGGTAGTGTAGATATTAAATTGAAAAAATCATGATCCCCGAGGGGTAGGCCAGGGCCATAATAGGGAATTTCAAGTTTTACATAGAAATATATAGAACTAGTGTTGGCAACGGTTAACCGCCGAACGATGCGAGTATCGGTAAGTTAAACTGCTATTCGGTTACTTGGATAAAATACATCTTATAAAGTAAATAACTATAAAATAAAATGTTCATTTGTTAATTAGCGTGTACATAAGCATTTCTCTAATTTTGTTTACCGTTAGATTAAACGATCTAGTGTTTTACTAATACGATCGATTCGTTTTAATGAGTCTTCCAGTTAATTGAAAGCTTTGTTTTCCAGTAGGTTATACAAGTTTGGAAGACCTGAGTTATAATAACCTCATTAAAAAAGTTAACAAGATGCTCAGTGCATGAAGAAATCATTTATAAAGAACAAAAAGTTGATGCTCACTTGAATCGATACATGTAGGATTACATGACTGTATACTCCCTCTCTGATGTTAATTTATGCTCAAGTTCAGTAAATTGCAGGTATTAATAAGCATGTCTAAAAAATAAACAAAACCCTCCTGTTCTTAAAATAATACTAAAATGAATCCCGCCATTAATTTGTTTACTTACACAAAAAAAATGTTTCTGGCATCTGCATCGTGTTTGTTACCGACAAACAGACACAGAAAAAGGTAGAACTACAAGTATGTCACAGTATACAACATAAAAAAGTTCGGCACTGCAACTTTCCATCTGATCCCTCTCCTAAGTCTCCTCTACTCTCTCCCGAGTTCCTCCTCCCCCTTCTTTTCTTCTCTGTCCGTTTCTTCTTCCCCATCCCTGTCCTTGGCATACCTTAGCCATTCTTTGATTGTGTTCTAAATGTCTTTTTTAGAATCTCTAGTAGCACTAAAATTGTAGTATTTAGTATTTAATACATTTGTTACTTTTCTCAGTAAGGCCAGCATTTTTTTATTTTTAGGTTTAACAAATCTTTAAATTAATTTTTCTTCTTCTTCTTTTTTTTTTTTTTTTTTTTTGTTTTTGCTCTCCTAACAGGCTTCATGCCACTGGACGCATAAGGATTACAAATGGGAAAATAGAACCTTTGTTTATTTCATCATCTACCAGTTGGGGCCTTCCTCAAATGGACTTCATTTCTCCCATAGTTTTATTCATTACACCTGATGCACATAAGCAACCCTTTACTGAAGAATGATGCTTATAAGACTGTAAGCTATACCTTAAACAATGTCTCTGACAAAAGCTACCATGGAAGTTTTAAACCTGTGGGAGGAAAATGATTTACAGACAGATACTTTTGAACACGGAAACATAATTATCTCACCAGCATGTCACTGTGCAATAAAGTCGTCAGCATTTTATTTGTCCTCTGAACTTGTGAAACGTTTTGAATGGCACTCCTATCGATAAATATTAACATTAAATAAAGCTTTAGTGCTGCTATGGACTTTGCAAATCCTTAAAAATCATTACCCGCCATGTTCATCTGAAACCGGAAGTACCAGTTCTGGGAAATCTCAGGACATCGGAAAGAAAAAATTCTGTTTTTCTCAATTTTATTTTTTTTTTCTTAAAATTCAAAAACTTGAGCGGCGGGTTTGTAAACCTTAAAATAAAAAAAAAATGCTAGCCTAAAGAGTAAACATAATTAAATTTACATCACTATATGTTTTTAAAATCTGTCAATTAAGGAATAACTGTCTTTTTTGTTTCATGGTGTGATTAAGCGATTAGCTTGCGTGGTGAAGGCATTTATGCATTAAATTTCTACGCTTGATCATCATCATCACACCGATTTTGATTCAATTTTTCCCATATAATATATTCAAAGTAAAATAATGTATAAAAAATTGTCAGTTACTTCTTTAAATGAAAGAGCCAATTTATGGTACTCAATAAATTTTGTTTTAACTGCAACATGTTCAATATTTTCAACATGTTTGATCATGTGCTGTTAAGTGTATATATATGTAAGTAAAATGAGTGGTAGACATCGGAAATTTATTATACTAGACTCAAATTTCAATCTAAATAAAGGGCAAATTTTATTTGTATCAAAACACATTTGTTATTTTATACTTTCATTTATTTTTCTTGTTTAGAAACAATAAAATTAATCATTGATAATTTATTTTGTTTTGATAAATTATAAGAATTTTAACAAGCCTTGTAAATTAATTTTAGCTAACTTGTATTTTCAAGGGTTGGTGGTAGATTTATTTCTGATTGTTGAGACTATCGGATTTGTTAATATACAGATTTGTAACAATTAAATCTTTATACACATTGGCCGAATGTTGGTCTAATATATCGGGCCAACATTGGGCCTATGAGCAAAATGACACTGGGCCAAAGTCATTTGTCAACATCGGCCCAATGTTCCTGTTAACGTTGGGCCAACATTGGCCTAATGTCGCATTCATTGGACCAATGTTGGCGTAACGTTGGGCCAATATCTGTAGAAATGACACTCTACATTGGGCCAACGTTGGCCCAAAATCAGAACATTGAAAAAACTTACATTGGGTCTATTTGGATGACATTGACAAAACGTTGGCCCAATTTTAGCATGCTATCTTGGACAGTGTTGACCCTACAGCACCTGGCCTCTGCACTTCCCCGTGTCTGATTTACACAGATTTGTACACGATATCATTTAAACTATAAACGTTAATTAAACTGTGTCGAAGCAAAATATTATAAATACTTACAAAGTGGATGCAGATATGCAAGGTATCAGTCTCATTACGCTCTTGTCAGATTAAAAATGTCGCGGATATTACAAATAACCCGGATGTTGTCTACCCATGATGCTCAGCCAGATTAATGGTATATTGGGCCAACTTGGGGCCGATGCCAATCCCCAACAAATATTTTCTCTCATGATAATAATTTTATGATATAACGCGAACAGTTAGCCCAACAGTGGCCCCATTATACATAACCAACTATCAATATTCCATGTTGGACCATTGTTGGCCCAATAAAGGTAACTCAACAGCGATAAAACAACCATTATAATGTTATTGGACCAACGATGTTCTGCTATCTGGGATTTACATCCTGTTCCTGAGAACTTTTTTAACTAATATTTATTTAGTAAAACGCTCATGAAAAAAATCGTAATTTTAAGCGTTTTATTACAAATTAAATAAGCATGCGCACAACTTAAATAATAAAATAAACACTCTTTGGTGCTGTGATCACTTAATTTCAAATTTAAAATGTTGAAAATATCATATCTAAACAAGAGCAGTCATCCAATGAAAAGCATGGACATAGAATGTCCTCTTAATTATTTTAGAATGAGCATTTAAATTAATATTTGGAACCAACGTTGTCCCAACGTAAATCTCAGCAGCTAATTATAAAATTGACACCATCATTTAGTTGACAGAATAATAATTGGGCCAACGTTGGCCCAATATAAATATCCGATTTTTGAAACATCTAAACAAAATAACACTGGTGCTAAAATTGGGCCAACATACTACTGCCAACTTGAAAAGACACTTTCTTTATGTAAAAACATTGAATTGGGCCAACATCAGCAGTTCTTCCTAGGAAAGTAAATTGAAAAGTTGCTTACGTGGACAAACGTTGGAGCACACAGCGGAAAGTTGACATGGTAACATTGGTCCAATTGGCCCAACGTCGTTCCCCAAACGCCAACCATACAACATTTTACCAATGTTGGCCCAACATAGTCATGCTATCTGGGTCTTCAACTCGATATTTAGATATATCGACGATGAAGTGTGAATTAACAATAGTGATAGGAATTCCTACTCCTCCTTGGCTCCTGATCCTGTTGTTATGGAGGTTCGTGTTTGCTCTGCTCCTATTTTGTACTGTTTTATAAACTTTGATATTGAATACTTTTGTTATCCCCATATCCTTCAAAGCAAAAAGATGGCACATCAATACAGAATGGACGTAATTAAATAAAAAGTAAAATGGGTACCTCTATAACAAGACATCAAAACATCACAAGACAAGAATAACAAAAAGATGGATCATCAAAATTAAAAAGGCAAAGGTCAGACTCGCAAGCTAGTATTGATGATTATGTAAATATAAAAATGTTTGATATATCCAAACCGAGTAAAGTACTTATAAAGAAGACAATCAAAATATCTATTAAAAAAAAGTCAGCAAATAGATGGTACATCAAAGCAAATGGCACATATAGATGCTTGAGATTCTGATTGACAATAGTTTTTGTGGTTTTTGGAGACCAGGGCCAAGTTTTATAAATGAACGTACGATTAAGATCAAAAGTTGAAAGAGAAATTTCACTAAATTTATTATTCTGTATAGCTTTAACGAGGCTAGGGGTCAACAAATTAACCACTAGATATAACTTAATTTTTAGATACTAGTATATCTTAAACTGTCAACTATCATAAACATGTTGATTCCAACCTTATAATCCTCAATTTCCTAAATTATGCAGCAATATATCCTAGCTTATCATTTGGATATTGGTATTATGTTCTTCAGTTGATTCGATACGCAAAAGCATGCTCTGCTTGTGAACATTTTCTAAAAAGAAGCAAACAATTGACAAACAATTTTATGAAGCAAGGATATCAAAAGACTTTTGACGTCATCAATTTGCAAGTTTTATGTTTGATACAATGACCATGTCAGCAAATTCAACCTTTTATCGAGTCAGATGCTGACTGGCATTTTTTATTCTTTGCCAATGTTTGCGCTCTGAATTGATGCTCACTTCTCCATGACACCTTTTACCACCAAAGGTTTTTTTAGATCCATGTTTGCTCTACTTGATTTGCATTGTTTAAATGAAGATTAACGCTGGATGGGACTTGAATATGGTTAGCCATCTCCATATGTCCTTGCAAACGAAAGCAAAGCTCTTCTAAACACTTCTTTTATAAATAGGAAGCAATTAGTTTATTGTGTCTTGGTTTTTTTAATTTACATTTTTTTCATCATAAAAACATATAATGAGGAAAATAGAACACATTACTACAGTACTCAATCACTTTTGCACGAATCACTGAAACAAAGGTGTCTTTTTCCCACTGTATATTGACTTTTATTACTCATAGTATATTTATAGTCGTGAACTTTTGCTTACAGATCATACAGGTGAATATCTATCTCTCGTGACAATTCAGAATCTATTATGTTTTAATCTTGATGGTTCTTTGACACCTACGAAAGAAAATAAAAGAATTAGAATGCATGTATAATACTATGTTTCAAGATGCAAACGAAGCAGCAATTTTTACCTACCTGTCCCGAAGAAACTATCAAAACGCGTTTCATATTCTTTCTGTTTACTATGATTATTCAAATATTGGTACATAACACTGACAACTCCACTCATATCTGGTAATTCTTGGCATAGTTCTTCTATTGCAGGCATATACATTTCCAAAGGCAGGAATGTCCGGTGCATTTTCGAAATCTTCATGGTATGGATGTAACAATACATCAATTTTTCTTTTATTCTTTGCATACTTTCGGACTTCTGAGACTGAATATCTTTTATTAAAGCTTCATCATCTATTTCGACATCAATGACAGGCTCCTCTTGAATAGCTCTTTCGAAGCATCGAATTGCTTCCGAAATTCCTAGCGTAGCTAGATTGCTGTTATATCTCTTTACTTCAGTTTTACTATATTCGTAAAAAAAATCTCCGATTAAATCGAAATTCGACGTTTTTTCCATTGGTATATGCAGGTTTGCAATCTCGTAGTTTACTCCCCATGGTAATATATCTGCAACGAGTAGACCACCTGTTGACATGACGGAATCCATAACGTTTATACCATATTCCTTTTCAAACTTTTTTGCCAAAATTGTTTTGGAGGCTTCCTGGTGAATTTCATTGAGAGCATGACGGAAAAATTCCGTGAAATTACTACTTAAATCGATAGGATTTATGAATGCGAAGCAAAGATGTGACGCATAAGTATCATTAAGAAGATAATAAGCTGCTTCATAATGACCTTGCCTTGTTAAAAATTTGACTGTTCTAATTGTTCCAGGAACGAAAACATCATGATAAGTTGACATTATATCTCTACTTGATGCAAATCTTTTACAGTCCTGTAAAACCAATCTTGACAGAATTGCTCCGTATGTGTATCCATAATTTTCAGCAAGAAAGTTTAAAGTCTGCACTGGAAACAATCGGATAGCCTCAATTTGAATACGTATGGATTCAAGATCTCCCTCCTTGAAGTTCTCGAATAAATTGAACGATGGTATGAAATAATGCGGCAGATTTCTTTTTCTTAGGCAAGCTAATAAAAATACAAATGCATAAAGAATGCAGCCACTCAAGTTTGTTTCCCATTTTTCAACAGGAACCTGCTCGCAGCAGTTCAAAAATACTGCCTTAGTGTGTTTCATTTTTAATTTGCATCTCAAATTGCATGTACTGTAATTGATGAGTATTTGTAGAAGGATAAACCCACGACATTGGTTTTCTGTAACTGCTCTTGTAAATAGTAACATTTCAGAGTTTGTGAAGTTGAATTTCCACTCGATTTCTGGATTACAGCTCCTAGGGTGATGTTTTGGAATGATGGTACACCCTGCATTATGAATAGCAGCAACTACGTTTTGTGATGGCCATTTGAATTTCCTTTGTCTATTTTGCCATTCTTCTGCCGCTAGTGGGAATTCACCACTACTAAATCCCATATAGCATCTTTCTGACCTCTTGGGTAAAGGCATATTATCGGGGACATCTAATCTTTTCAGGAAAACATTATCTTCACATCGATGCAAATTTCTCTCTGGGAATATATGAGACATTGATAAAACTTTTAATCGTAGGAAACCTGGATGTGTGTCCTTTGTATCGATTAAAATACCCGATGTAAGGGGCCTTAAAGCAACGACAGTAGCATCTTTCTTTACTAAATTCCGTGACGTGTAGCCTCGAGTAATGTCCTTTAAGAATGCGTAGGTCCCCGTAGCAAATGATCCTAAATACTGAAACGTCGTCCCATCCTTTTGTACCGGTGGAAGTGCAAAAGAATTAACAAGATCCATATTAGGAGGAATCAAATGCTTCATGAGATACGATAAATGTTGTAGTGGTAGTCCTGTTCGCGTATCAATGTAAAATGGATCCTCTACAAGACGATGCATTGGTTCTGAGAAACAAAAAGAAAATATCAATATAAAATAATAATGTAAGTAATGGTAGGATATTCTTAATTCTTTACATGCCATTCTTGTCCTAAATATTCCATAAAAGGGAAATTCAACCATGCTCTCTTTTAAATTCATTTTTTTTTTAAAATAGAATAATATATATTGATCCTACCCTCATTTTCTTCCATATCCAGATCTTCTAAACCATAAACTGGACACACTGTGTATCCAAATTTTTCTGAACATTTCCAATCAGTTTGTATTTCTGTTTCGAAATCTGAAGTTGATGATATTTTGGGGAAGTTATCTACGTCGTTTTTCTTATCACTTTTTATTCTCATACTCTCAAATTGTCTAATAGGTAATTGGTGTCTATACATGAGTGCTTCTACAATAATGGTTTAAAAGAACATTTAGATTTTAAAATGATTCAAAATACGAATCCTAGATACAAGAAACAAATCGGATATGAAAAAATCTTCAAATCAAAGAAAAGCTTCTGGAAAACTTGACAATGTCTTGAAATCATTTTTTAAAAAAAATATTTACAACTTATAAGCATTCAATCTTACACAAAAATGTGTAGTATTGAAACTGAGCTTATTTAACACTTATCTGAATAACATAATTTTCGTAACTCTTTTGCCATTCTGTTTCCCAATTATTGGGTCTTAAACTAAGGTAGTGAAATTCTCCAAAGTGACCGAGATAAATGGTTAGGATGTCAACGGATTGTTTTCTGGACATAACCTCTGTTCGTCTAATATCGTCCCCGTAAACATTGAAAACCACAACTCGTAGACCCAAGGCGTCCACGGCAGCTTTAAATATCACGTGATCGCACCATTCTGTACTTTGTTCCATTCTCGACAAGTATATTGTTCCCAGTTTTCAGTGAAAAGGAAAGACTCAGTATGTGATCCATCCTCTTGATACGGATTTTCCCTAAGATATCTGCTTACAATAACAACGAAAAACAAATTATTAAATATATTATTTAAAAATTCATACCTTTAGAAAACCGTTTGTAATCTGTATTGATTATTTTTTTCTCACATAAGAAGACGTTGGTTGTCCAAGAAAAAAATGCATTGCATTAACGACCTGACATTCATTTTGGTGGCTGGGGGTACAATGTTTGGAAATGATATTTTCATAATTTTGTCTAAATTCTGCGAGGTCGTAATGTCATGTCCTCTGATAACGATGCGTCTAATTTCTCTTACAACCCTCATAAATAGAGTTTCTTTATAAATTGGTCATTACAACTTGTAGATAAAAAAAAGAGAAGCATTGTATAACGCACTTGATAGTGTTTTTCCGTAATGACTCCGGGCAGTTGCCAAAGATTCCATTCACAGAGAGCTGATCATTGATAGCCCGGAAGAGACAATTCCCATCTGCCATAACATTATGGACTGTGAATCCATTGGATTTTGCAAACTTTTGTAAGGATGTCACAAACACTGGCATGTTATTGTACCGTGATACACCTTCACCTTAAAATAATTTCAGAATATATATATATTTTTTTGGAAGAAATTTCCTTTCCTACATGCACTCTTTATAACCTAACCATTTTATTAAAAACACGTCTTTATATTATTTAAATCCGATTATGGGTTATTTAAAAAAACATCATGAGATACGTATGTTCATAGGGTTTCAAACTTATTCAAATCAATAGAGCTGGGATAATGAAAGGCGTACAATGTGTTTTGAATAAGGTCATGGTAAGGAAAAAAAAAACAATTTAAGATATATTGCAGTTAACGGTTTAGGTTTTTTGAATTGTGAAGAGTATTACTAGACGAAGCATAGGCCCCTACTACTTTGTGAAACAAAGCGAGCTGCACAAAAAGAATGGACAGTGCATTACTATTTATAATGTTCATCAACTACATATTAATAAAGATAATCTTATCTTACTGTATCTTCCATTTACTGCAGATGTTGGCAAAGGCGAATGAATCATTCCATGGTAAGCGAACATCGGACTGTCCTCAAAGTTGTTTCTGTATGTCTCAAAGTATTCGTCTTCACTGTCAAAATAATCAGTAGCATCAGTTTCAAAATCATGTAGATTGAATTCCGTGTCTGAAAAAGCCTGTTTATCTTCCTCTTTTTTCGTATCATTATTTGCTGTTCTTTTTTCCGTTTCTTTTATGTCTTTATTTTCAACGTTTTCGAAATCAAAATCATCCGAGTGAGTCTTTATCAATGATTCATGACTGGTTTCATGTTTGGAAGTTAAACTAGTTTCTTGTGCATTTCCAGACCAAATGAAGCCCGATTGTCCATCCACGCTTTTTGGAGTTACTGACTTCAAGTTATCTTCAAAGTCTCCGGCAATGTTATTTGAGAGGGCCATCCTCTTCGGATCATGCACGTTTTGTTCGTGCACTTCGTTGGGGAAAGTAATACTGCTTCTCTGCAAATTTTCTTCTTGAACATTTATAAACTCATTTTGAATTTCTTCGCCACATTCTTCAGATGTATCATTGGACCAGATTCCTCGAAAATATCCTCTAGTTTCTGTTCTGTCTGATGATTTTTCAAACTCTGCTAGAACGTTATAGTGCGACATTTTGTGTTGTGTCAAAACTCCATTTCTTATCAATGTGGAAGTCTTTATGCTGCAATTTATTTTCCTGGACAAGAGTTTTCTTATGATAACATCATTTACAGAGAAATTATTAATAATAAAAACTTACAACATGATCTAACGATTGTACATACGTCCAATGACTTGCAATGGGACATAGCATTGATGATATCTCCAGTTTTAAAGAGAGATAAATATTTAAATTTATCTTTGTTGAATTTATTAGAAATTCCGTCCTTGTGTTATGGGAAAGATAAAGTCAACTGTGTGTGAAAATGAATGTCACATTCCCTCACATAACGATAGCAAGGAAGGAAATTCAAATCGGGATTAGAATTACGCATATATCGCTTTTTATCCCGAGATCGAACATATGCATGATATAGAAAGACAATGTAAGGAATTTCCGCACATGACCGCCATAGTTTGTGAAATGTTTGAGTTCCTGACCATGAGAATGCCTGACAAGCATAAAGGATATGAAATGAAAATCAGATCGTATCTTTCTAAAACAAATTAGAGTCCCCAGTTAAGCTAATAATCTTATTTTCAGGGTCACCATACCAGTGAAAAATTTTCTAGAGGGACGATTAACACTATACAATCAATCAATTATGAATTCGATTTTTTATTTCATGGACTCACTGTAGCCATGGACGCTATTTCTGGCATTCAAAAATGATTATTAAGTATTTGAAAAAATAACATCACTAGTATTTGTCAAGAAAAATACATAGAATCAAAATTAAATTCTAAATTAATAATATTATTTTTATGAAGAAACTTATAGATCTAATAATCTGAATAAATTTAAGAAGTTTGTTGACATTAATGATACCACAGAGTCAGACATATCTATTTCATACCTGGACATTTTACTTTAAAAAAAGGACTTTTATGGTAATCTAACAACCACGCTATATGATAAACGTGATGACTTTAACTTTTCTATGGTCAACTTCTCTTACTTATGCAGCAATATACCTTCATCACCTACATACGGAGTAGATTCGATACGCAAGAGCATGCTCTACGTATGAACAATTTCTAAAACGAGGTTAATTATTGGCAAGCAAGTTGATGAAACAAGAATATCAGCAGTCTCGTTTAAAGTCATCATTTCTTAAGTTCTATGGTCGATACAATGACCTTGTCAGCAAATACAATTTATCATTAAGTCAAATGCTGACTGACGTTTTTCATACCAATTGCTGGTCCATTATTTATACACTGAATTGACGACGGATTTTCCCGTTATTTCCTGATCATGACAAGGAGCACACGGCGGGTGTGACCGGTCAACAGGGGATGCTCATTCCTCCATGGCACCTGATCCCACCTTTGAAGTTGCTCCTATTTTGTGTTGTTTTATGGACTTTGATAATGAATACTGTTCGTTATCTTCATATCCTTCTGCTTAGTGTGAATCCTTCTTAACGGCACTGTTTAAGTTCCCTCTTTTCACCTTTTTCCCCTTTCCTTATAGGGATTTTAAGTGAAAGACATAAACTGGTACTCTTTTTGTTTATAATCCGTAATATTATAAAATTTCTAACTATTTTAAAATGTAACCCTTAATTGTTACAACACGAAATAATAATAACAAGACTGCAACAATACTACAACAGAAGAAGTAGCTTTTAATAGAATTTTACAGCGTTTTCAATTTAAGTTACCATCACAACATCATTCATCAAAATAAAAAAACACACAATTATGTATCTCAGTGTAGTCTACTTGCATATCACATAATATCATAATCAGGCTAAAATGTATTTGGAGTAGCATTTTGAAAGTATTTCACAGAAATTTCTATTTTTAGTCACTACGGCAACACCGTTCATCGAAATGAAAAACGGATGCACAGAATTATGTATCTTAGTGTAGTCTACGTGTGCCAAGTTTTATTGAAATCAGACCAAAACTGTAGGAGGAGTAACATTTTGAAAAACAAAACCGTTAACAGACAGACAGACGGACAGATGACGGACACATTACAACAGCATGAGCTCTTCTGGTCTATGACAAGTAGAGCTAACAATTATATTTTGTTTTATTATGTATTGCATTACATTTTGCGCAGTCATTAAGGTAAAAATATAATGACGTAAAAGCACGTTATTACATTTTGCGTTGATCTCAGCGCAAATTTCTTAAAGCAAAATGTAATAATAATTAAAAAAAACGTGTTATTACATTTTGCGTCGATATCAACGCAAATTGTAATAACAACGCAAAATGTAATAATTCAAGTTTATTACTTTTCGCACTATTACATTTTGCGTTGTAACAAAGCCTACAATTCTCCGTCATGACACAAAGTTTCGGTTTTAAAGATGTCTTCCATAGAATCTGCAATCTATGGCTTTAAAAAATGCCGAGCGCTTGGCGAAGAATACTTGTTACTTTTTTTATGGACTTTGGTTAGTCTCAGCCAGGGTTTGAAACCACGTCTAGAGCGTGTATCACATAAGCTACTGTCAAGGTGAAGAGCACAGGAAAAACACAATAAGAGATTAATTTGGCTCTAGAGATGTAAGAAAAGCTTAAATAAAATTGTGTAATTGGAATACATGTATAAGATATGGCATTCATGGGAGACTTTATCTCAGTTGAAAGAAAGAAATCAAGGCAACTCACAATATTAAGCTCGTAGAAATAAGCAAAAAAAAAAAAAAAAAGATGGAGGAGAACACTTATCGTCAATAAAATCTTTATTTACAAATATTAAAAAAAACTTAAGACAAAAACTGTTCATTTCACAAGTTTATTGATCAAGTATCCAGATGTAGTGTACATTTAAATCTCCTGAAAATTGATTAAAATTTTCAGAATTGTTTGCTTACTTAGAAACAAACATTTATACGATGTTTGAAATACTATAATTGAATATTTAATCAACACAAAATATAGTTTGATAGAAAAAAAATAAACAAAACAGACAATTCAGCCTCTTAGTCCGAATTAGTAAGAGAAAGTGTCATTTCGTTCCATAATATCTAAACTTAATTTACATACAGATATGCTTTTGCTTACACGTCATACTGGCATACATTTTTCTATGACGACATCTCAATATCCACTATATTTCAATTTCGATGGCCCTTTGTACACATCATCTAAAAGAAAAGAGGTATGCTGTCTTAAAGAAAACATATTTTGAAGATTTACAAAAGAAGGCTGCAATTTTTACTTACCTATCCCTAAGAAACTATCAAAAAGTTGTTCATATTCCCTTTGTTTACCAGGATAACGCAAAAACCCGTACATATGGCTGACAGTTTCAATCATTTCTGGGAATTCTTTGCATAATTCTTCTATTGCAGGCATATACATTTCTAGGAATTCGTATTTGTAGTCCAATTTTGCAATGCAGAATGTGTGCAAATAACAATCTTTTAATTTTTCCTTAAGCCTTTTCGTATTTTCGGATTTCTGAAATTGAATGTCATTTTTTAAAGCTTTGTCATCAATTTCAATATCAATCAAAGTTCCCTCTTGTATGGCTCTTTCGAAACATTGAATTGCTTCCGAAATTCCTAATGCTGCTAAGGAAATGTTTAATCTCCTTGCCTCAGTTTTACTGAATTTGTAAAAGAAATCGCCAATCGATTCAAAATTAGATGATTTTTCCATCGGTATATGCAGACTGGCAAGATGGTTGTTTACCTCCCAAGGTAAGAGATCCTTTACAAAGAGACCTTCTGTTTTCATGACGGAATCGAGTATATTTATGCCAAATACGTTTTCAAACTTTTTGGCCAAAATGATCCTAGAGGCTTCCTGGACAATTTCGCCGAGAGCACTACAGAAAAATTCTGCAAAATTGAATTTTTGATAGCTTGGTTTGGCATATGTAGCGGTCAAATTTATCTCAAAGGTATATAGAAGAAGATATAAAGCTGCTTGATAATATCCACGTCTTGTTAAAAATTTTATTGTTCTGATCGTTCCAGGAACAAAGATTTCATGAAAAGTTGGCAGTATGTTTCTACTTAATGCAAATCTTCTACAGTCTTGTAAAATAAATCTTGATAGGTTTGCTCCGTATGTATAGCCATAATCTTCACCAAGAAATTGTAAAGTCTGCACTGGAAACAATCGTATAGCTTCTATTTGAATATGTATAGCTTCAAGATCTATCTCCGTGTAGTCCTCAAATAAATTGCGTGACTGGATGAAATAATGAGGCAGGTTCTTTTTTCTTAGACAAGCTAACAAAAAGGTCATAGCATAAAGCAAACATCCACTGAAGTTCGTCTCCCATGCTTCAATAGGAATCTGCTCACAGCAGTTGAAAAACACTGCCTTCAGTTTTAATCCACGTCCAAAATGGCATGTACTGTATTCTATAAGTATTTTTAGTTCATCAAACCCGCCCACTGACTTTCCGTAAGACCATCTTTAAAAATACATAATTCAGAGTTCGAGAAGTCAAACTTCCATTCGATATCTGGATTATGGCTCATTGGGTGATGTTTTGGAATTATGGTACATCCTGCATCCCGAATAGCAGCCACCACATTGTGTGGTGGCCACTGAAATTTTCTTTGTCTGCTTCTCCACTCTTTTGCGGCTTGAGGAAACTCACTACTAGAGAACCCCGCTAAACATCTTTCTGTCCTCTCTGGTAAAGATATCTTCTCAGGGACGTTTAATCGTTTTAAGAAAACACTGTCCTCACTTCGATACAAACTCTTTTCTGGGAATATACGCGACGATGGAAGAATTTTAAGTCGTAGGAAGCCTGGATGAGTGTCCTCTGTGTCGATTGAAATCGCCGATGTAAGTGGCCGTAAAGCAATGACAGTAGCATCTTTCTTTACCTTGTTTCTTAATGTATATCCTCCTGTAATATCCTTTAAAAATACATATGTTCCCGTTGCAAATGATCCTATATACTGAAACATCGTCCCATCCTTTTGTACTGTTGGAAGTGCACGGGAATTAAGGAGGATCATCATAGGAGGAATCAAATGCTTTATGAGATACGATAAATGTTGAAGTGGAAGTCCTGTTCGTGTATCAACGTAAAATGGATCCTCAACGAGACGATTCAGTGATTCTGTACAATGTCAAAAATTGAATTAACTTTTATGAAATCGGGTTTGGCTTGATATCCTTAATTTAATCATATACAAGTAGGATCAATCTAATTTTCTTTAAAAAGGATTTCTTTTTCAATAATTCAAAATTATACCTTCATTTTCTTCAGTATCAAGGTCGTTTAAACCATAAACTGGACATATTGTGTACCCAAAATTTTCAAAGTCTATGTATTTCTTATCATCTTTTGTCTCTTTTTTCATTCTTTGGAAATCATTAACGCCCTCTGTCTCGTTCGTTTTAATTTTCATACTTTCAAACCTTTTAGTGAGTAATTGTTGTCTGAACATCAGCGCTTCTACAAAGAAATATTTACTAGTAATTTTAAACAATCATATCCTACATGTGTACAAAAAAAGATGCGCAGAGTTTTCTGGGACCTTTATAGTTACCTCCTTTGTTGGAAATTTACTATTTTTAACACATTTAATATTGCGTGTTTTGTTTCATATAGAAATTCTTACATATGTTTAGAAAACGTTTCTAAATGGACGGATGCAGTTTTAAAATTTCAAACATCTTATAATCTTATGCCAATAATTACATGCTGAGAAATTTATATATAAAAGGTAACTAAAAATTGTCGATCTTAACTGTATTGCCACTCTTTATTCCAGTTGTTAGGTCTTAAGCTAAGATAGTGAAATTCTCCAAAATGACCAAGATAAACTGTTAAGCTTCCATCAGACGGGTTTCTGGAAAGAACTTCTGTGCGCCTGATGTCGTTCCCATACACATTAAAGACAACAGCTCGTAACCCAAGGGCGTCAACTGCGGCTTTAAATATGACGTGATCACACCATTCCGTATTTTGCTCCATTCTTGACAAGTACTGTTCCCAACTTTCGGTGAAAAGAAACGACTCGGTATGTGACCCATCTTCTTGATATGGATTTTCCCGAAGAAACCTGTGGATTTTTAAAAATCTTGTCATTATTCAAGCCTTTTAATAAACTATATTCTCAATTCTAATTTAAATTTTTTTTTAAAAAATCGTATCTAGCGCACTTTAAAGTGTTTTTCCGCAGTGAATCCGGGGAGTTGCCGAAGATTCCGTTAACAGAAAGTTGATCATCAATGGCTCTGAAAAGACAGTTTCCATCTGCCATAACATCATGTACAGTAAATCCATTGGATTTTGCAAATTTCTGTAAGGACGTCATGAAAACTGGCATGTTTTTGTATTGTGATACACCTTGACCTGTAAAAAAAAAAACAAAAGGGAAATCTATGTCAGAACATTACTAGTTCAAATAAACATTATATCATTAATAAAGAATTAAATGGATGATGAGTATTAGAAACAATTACTGAGTACTCTTACAAAATGAATAATTTTATCCACCTTTCAATAGATTTTCACATCCATATAAGTATTTTTATCCCTGTTTGACTCAAATTTTGCCTTGATATGCTGAGGCTTTCACTTTTTACACATTGATGTGGAGCGAGGAAGCTTCACTTTTGATATATTTTTTTTAAAATCCAGGCTTTTTTGTGTTAAAATGGTAAACATTTATGCTTACATTCCAAATAAAACATTAATGGTCATAGATTCTATACCCCTTCTCCCAACATCCACCACTTTTTACACATTGATGTGGAGCGAGGAAGCTTAACTTTTGATATATTTTTTTAAAATCCAGGCTTTTTTGTGTTAAAATGGTAAACATTTATGCTTACATTCCAAATAAAACATTAATGGTCATAGATTCTATACCCCTTCTCCCAACATCCACCAAGAACCTAATTCCATATAATGTGACATTATTTTCATCATGCTTTATTTGAAAAGTTTTTTTTTCTGTGTAAAAAAAAGATGAAGAATGCCGTATCATTTTAAGCTCACCAGTGCTCAACCTAAAAATGTACAACGACCATCCGCCATGCTAGATGTAAACTTCACATTTTAACTTCTTCTAAAGAAACATTGATGAAATTTTATCCAAACTTGACACTTTACATAAGAAAAATCTTGTAACGACCTCCCAAGTACTACTAAAGTCCCGAAAAGATGAAACTTATGTGGAATAACAGATTCAAAATTGTTCAAATCATTATAGAGCATCAATAGGAGATTAAAATTCAACATTGAAATAAGTGAGATGATTTTAAAGCGTCTCAAACACTGCTTGACTAAAATATAAACCTTAGACGAAAGCTTCCAGACATAATGAACATGTAGATTCTTTGTATTAAAATCATGGACATAAAAGATTATCTTACTGTATCTCCCGCTTTCTGTAGACGTTGTGGTACGAAAATGACTCATTCCATATAAAGGAAACGTACTATTGTATTCAACAGTGTTTCTGTATGTTTCAAAATACTCATCTTCACTGTCAAAATAATCAGTTGCCTCAGTATCGAAATCATCCAGATATGATTCCATGTTTGAGTAGCCACGTTCACTCAAGTTTTCCGATGGAGAAGAAGGGTCTTTTTCCTTTTCCCTCTTTTCTATTTCTTTTACGTCTGATCTATTTGTTAAGTCTTGATCGTCTTTCTTTCCAGCGTTTTTGATTTTCGTCTTTTTTAATGCTTTGTTTTTGAAAGTTAAATCAGCCTCCTGCTGATTTCCAGAACAAACGAAGGCCGATTGTATGTCCACCTTTTCTGAAACGACATAGTTTGAGTTTTCTTCAGAGTCTTGGGCAACATTATTTGAGAGGGTCGTCTCCCTCGGATCCTGATTGTTTTGTGTTTCGTTTGGGAAAGTAATACTGCTTCCCTGCAGACTATCTTCTTGAACATTTATGAACTCATTTTGAACTTCTTCGTCACATTGTTCAGGTGTATCATTGGACCAGATTCCTCGAAAATATGTTTCCGTCCTGTCCGATGACTTTTCAAATTCGGCTAGAAAACTGAACTGCGACATTTTGTCGTGTGTCTATGTAGAATCACATCTCTATTTCAAAAGCAACGCGGAAAGCTATAATTAATAGAATCAAATAGATCCTGGACGAGGAAGTTTTCATAGAATGAATATGTCTGGAGCGGATCTAGTGCTACATTTGACTGATATCACACATGGAACTTGTAAATTTTGAATTTGATTTACTGTTATTTAAAATCATTTGTAAAGGCTCTTTGATAGTTTATAGAACAGTCAGCTTTCTTCGTATACCTGGATAATTGAAAAAAAATCCAACTCCCTCAACTAAAAAGGTCTTTATTCTGCGGCCGGTAATCGAGATATCTGTAAAGGTTAATAATAAATTGACCTTTGTCGAATTTTTTCAATCCCCTTGAGTTCCTTCCCTGTATTTTCAGGATTATGTTCTATATATTCAATATGATCTATAAACGTCTGTAATATAAATATGTGCATCACGTACCGCTTTCCAACATGGCGGCAAAAGGAAGGAAATTCAACGGTAATGAACTCGAAAATATTTGGACCCCCCCCCCAAAAAAAAAAGCATCATAAAGATAGAAGAAAGTTAAACAACTAAGGCTCAATATATGAAAAAGCACTGGAAAAAGTTGACACTTAATTTTAAACCATTTTTATATGCGTTTTGAATTTACATCCAACATGACACAACCGAAAATATGGGTTGATTGATTGATTGGATATTGTTTAACGTCAAGTCGGTGATATTTTAGTCGTATTTCGGCGAATACGGGTTAGAGGGAAACCATACATTCCATATGCACTTTGAATGTTAAGTGTGTGGAAAGCTACGACATTCAATGGAGTCATTATAACATGGTCGGATAGATCGAAAGTTTGGAGTATGAGTTTCATTTTGACGTCACAAATGTTGAACGGCGTTCAAGGGCGTTATTGTCGCCTACATCGGGTGTAGGCGAAAGCCTGAATAGAGAATAGGGCGTTATCATAAGCGAAGTTCTCATTTTTTTATGTCTACGTGAAATAGATTGAAAAGGAAATCTAGATTAAAAATAAAAATTAGTATTTCATGATTGTTGAATTTAATCCATAAAGGCTTACATATACATGTCTCCGTCCGCGTTTTATTTATAAATATATCTATTTCAGTATAAAATCGTGATTGGTTTGATTTTTAATCTTCAGCTAAAAAGGTCTATTTGTTCGAGGAAATATTCCCTCACAACATTTATTTTATAACTTACTATTCTTTCAATGGGTGTTTAATTTTTTTCATCAGTGATAAAGAAAAAAAATATTAATTCAAATGTGTTCGAAGTCATTATCACAATTAACTGAGAAAAAGATTTTTAAAAACCCTCTTTGTGGTATCTGGACACATGGAGAAATCACTGAATGCGATGTCAAAGAAAATGTTTTAGAAGAAACCTTTGATAACAATTTTATGGAAACACCAAAAGATGTCGAATCGAATTCAGAAAACCGTCCAGTGTATCCCAGCAATATTGAAGAAGACATCGACAAAACTGATTATTTCGACAGTGAGGATGAATACTGGGAGAATCATATATCGACACAAGAGGAAGAGTTTTATTTAGATGCATATGGAGAAGAATATCGCCCTCTTTCTACGGGAACAAGGAATAATGGAAGATTCAGTAAGATAACATAAATTGATATACAAATGAATTCAGTAATTTAAGCAATGGCTTTATTTACTATAAGTTTTTCTTTGGTGATGCATTATATACATGCCATTGCCATTCTTTGAAATTATAGGTAAAGGAGTTGAACAATATATGAACATGGCAGTCTTTCAAAAGTCTTTGAGAAAGTTCGCAATTGATAACAATTTTGAAGTAAAAGATGTTGTTTCCGATGGGAACTGTTTGTTCCGGGCTGTAGCTGACCAGTTGATGGTAAATGGATGCCTTGGACACACAGAGGAGTCTCTCAGACAAACAGCAGTACAGTAAGCTTTGTTAGAAATTGAAAAAATAATGAGTGTGGGTATTCCATTCAGAATCCTAAACAAGATATCTTGTCGGTTGTAAGAAAATTGAGGATCTTTTCATTGTTGAGTATTTTCTAAACCTTGATCGCTTACACCAGTAGTTTATTTTTTTTTTTTTTAATTATTATTTATTAAGAAATACATGTACACATTTTCTATGGAAACAAATTTCAGAACGTCAAGCACAATTTTTTTTCTTACTTAATTTCCTAGATATTTGAGACAGTGTCCTTTCCAAGAAGACAAAAGTCACCCCTCTTCCTTTTTATTAGAAGAAACATGGTCGGAATATTTAACAAGAATGTCGAGGTCCGGTGAATGGAGCGACCACATCATTTTACAGGCTGTCGCTGATATGCTATTCCTTGAAGTCATCGTCTTCAACGTCTATGATGACGACATATACCGGACTGAAGTCAAAGGAAAAATTAACAAATATGATCAAAATCGATTGACAATATTTCTTGGTCACCTTGGAGAGTTCCATTATTTGAGTTTGCGTCCAAAACTTTGGCAAAAGCACTGGCCTTTTAGTAATATACCTAGCAGTGTACTGTTATTCATAACACAATTGCTTATTTGATTTTACAAAATATTTTAAATATTATCATGATTTCCATTTCAGAAGCGTTGATACTAAGGATTCTAGCTTGTTCAAAAGATTTGGATCCCAAGATAAAGGAACATCTTATAAAAGAAAAGGCTAAAAGTATGGAAGATGAAAGATACATACTCAAAACCACACTGAAAGATATAACTGATTTTGCATTACAAAGCATACATGAAAAAGAAACTGTAGAAGAAAAAATGGATGAGAAAATGAATAACTGCAGCAAAAGCACCTCTCGATCATACAGTCCAGTTGATCTACAGTTAGAGGAAACTGAAGGTTAAATACTATTAATAAAGTTATTTGTTTAACTGATTCACTTTGAAATAGGATTCTCTGCAATAAATTTTACATCGATCGTCTTTTGCTTAAAATATATACTATTTATACTTTTCAAATTTAATAAATGTGTATCTTTCCACAGAGTCAATCCAAAGTCTAACATGGGACAATATGCATATCGATCCTCTCACGGGAATACCAATAATACATTTATCGTTTATAATGAAAACTCTCCTGTCTAAAACACTAAAAATTACCTACAGTACAGCAGATGGACGACTACTCTTTAATAGGGATGATCCGGAGGCATTATATCATTTTAGAGGTCATTGTTGTAATCCATGTTATTTCACATTAAAAGACATAACAAGATCGCAAAAAATGCAACACTTCTACAATAAAAACCATAGAAAGAAGCCAAAAGCTGTTGTTATCAGAGCAGACAGATCAATCCCATTTGCAGTTCCAGCGTTCCAACATTTGTCATCACATATTATGAGTGAAGAGACCTCAGATACCCACCCTGGCTACTGCAGACTTAAACTTCCAAAAAGTCAAGCAACATGCGCAGAGGAAAATGTTTTGCAAATTGGATCAAATGCTTATTTACAGGCATACGACATCCCCCATAGTCTTCAGTCCCGTCCCTATTTCTGTCAAACAGATATACAGTATATAGGTATTCTTTGCTCATTTCCTTCGATGACTTGTGAGTGGAGGGAGAGAAAAAGGAACTTCGATTTTCCGTCGCCTGATCTCATTTACCGTATTTTGCAGACAGGTTGCACGTTAATCCCCAAACCTCACCCAAAAAGTAAAAATCCTACGATAGAATGGAAATACAATTTCTCCATGGCAAAGTTCATTATCATTGAAAACCTTACAGAGACACAGCAGTATGGATATTTTATCCTGAAAGTGTTACTCGAAAATACGACATTTCATCTCAGTCATTCTCTAAAATTAAAGCACTTGACAGCAGTCTTTTTACGTTCATGTGAGGAAATGCCACCCAGCGCTTGGGACACTTCCTTCAGTGGTTGCGTACTGTATGTCATCAGTAAACTGATATCCTGCTTAAAAGCTAGGTTTCTGCCTCATTACTTCATTCCAACCAAAAACCTAATTGACTGCTTGTTAGAGGAAGACATTGATGTTCTGTGTATCTCCATTGAGTCCATCCGATTTTTTCCGGCACACATAATCCAGTTCGTTGCTGAAAAACATGGATATATGTATGGAGCAAACTTGGTCAGAAAAGTTCTTTCAGACATTCCAACGTTTGTGCAAACAATGAATTTAAGGGCCACCGTCGAAAATACGTTGATTTCAACATCCTTACGCACCGCAAAGATTCTCTCGAGGATGGGACTTTATAAATCAGTATCCCAAGTTTTAGGAGACACATATGAACATTTGCTTCTTTTACCAGATTCAGGAGAGAATACTCCTAACCTTTTAGAATTTATTGAAGGTTCAATCAATCAAATTAACCAACGTTCATCTCGAATCATAGTTGCAAAAGAGTTTGACCGAGAATTTGGAGGAAATCTGGCGGCTAAATATAAACCAGAGGGTGTTTTACTACTAGAAAACCTCATACCCTGGAGTGTAGATGATTCAATTAGTTGGTTACCAATCCCAATGGACAAAGCTGTAGATTATACGTCTATAGCAAAATTTCTTTATGAATACAGTCTTACAGAGTATGACAAAAGGAATGTCACGTTAAGTTTACCTGCTGTCGAATCAGCCATACGCTGTTTGAAACATGCAATCGAACAACATCCCTTTGAAGTGAATACCATTGAAGATGAAACATTGAAAGGAGAAATTATTTTACAGACTCGAGTTCTAAAGGAGAAACTAAATCACTACTACATACACCTATTATTTGTTTCAGAATTAGAGTTGCGCATATATCCTTTGAGGAATTATATGAGCGACATAGAGAAACAGTGTGAGGAATTTCCAAACATCTCCGGCATGGTCAGAGAAATGTTTCACTATCTTAGAATGCCTGAAAAGAAAAAGGAATATGATATAAAATTCAGAGCCTATCTTTCAGAAATCGGAGCTACAACCACCAGAGAACTAAGTTGGGAAACAGGAAAATATTACTGAGTGATGTTCAATAGTACAAGTGATTTTGTGATGACCATCATTGAAATACCCGTTATTATTTCATCAGCATCACGTTATTTCAAGATGTTGTTGCCTGGGTTTGAACTGCACTTTCAATGAATTTTAAAATATTATTTCAATAGTGACAGTTTTTTTTTCAATCGTGGTTGCAGCAGTTGGCCATTTGAGGAAGAATATCTAAATAAGTACTGTATTTGCTGTATATGTCGTTTTCCTACAGAATAAATTTTATTATCTCAGCATAGACCAATCTTGTACTTTTTTATATGACAAGAGGTTTAAAGAACAAAGGATTTTTAAAATAAATTTAAAATACAAAAAAAACCAAACCCAAATCATCAATTGGAGACACACTACATGTAAATGAAGAGTAAATTAATACTAATATGGCTTGGAGATGAAAATGAAGTTAAGACTCTTGTGAACAGGTAGCCATCTGGAATCCCCAACCTCATATCTAAAAAAAAACTTCAAGCCCAATTTTTTTTATACGTAAATCGTGTTTTTGTTTTTTTGATTTGACTGGCAGCATAAGGACATAACGTACAATACTTCCTACCTTGTCTTTTTCGGGAATATTCGGGAACTTTATTCTAAATTAGCTTGACACATCTGTTTCCTGCAAGTTGGAAGATGGAAGAAACTACATGTAATATATTTACAGTTTATCATTATTTGTGAAAATATTCTCACAAATTATTTTATAATTTCAAAATGACGGACCAGAGTTATTCGCGGCATGTTTCGTGGTCATGTACTATTAAGCTATATTTAAACTTAGTAACTGAAGTGGCTGGGTGGGACTAATACCGACTATGGATTTCATATTTCACAGGTTTATTCCTTGTGACAAGACCTTTCTATGGGCACCATCAAATATGACCTCTTGACCGTGACCTTGGAGTTTGACACACTTTTACACCAAAATGCCAAACCTTTACTTTGGCCATAACTTTAAAACGGTTTGAGTTAGGACTTTCATACTTCAAATATGTATTCTTTGTTACAAGACCTTCAATACCAAAAACTTTGAGCTTAACCTTGGAGATTGACCTTTAACGTTGGCTATAACTTTTGAACGGCATGGGCTAGGGCGTTCATACTTCACATATGTATTCTTTGTGACAAGACCTTCCATTGAATACCAAAAACTTTTACCCTTTGACCTTGACCTTTGAGTTTGACCTACTTTTAAAAGATTTTAACCTTGGCATTAAATTTTGAAGGGTAGGGATAGGGCTTTTGTACTTCCCATATGTAATCTTTGTGACAAAACCTTTTTTAAGAAACCCTTTGACCTTGACCCCGTAGTTTGACTTACCTTTAAAAAAGTTAAACTTGGCCATAACTTCTGAAGAGGTGATGCTGGGTTTATATTTAACATCTGTTTTTCTTGTGAGAAGTGTACTCTGGGTATCAATACAATCGCAACTCCTCGGGCCTTTCCGCTGGCGGAAAAACAACCTCAACTGTACTACATAGACCCCATGACAACCCCCCTTTTCACAAAACTTTGAAATAAGTGTTAGAAGACCTCTTATCTGTGGAGTATGGAGATTAACTTATTAAATGGAATGATATTACCTAAAATATACTAGAGAAGGGACTTTTAACCCCTTCAATCCTATATTTGAATAAACAAGAAATGTATAAAATTTTAAGACCCTGTGATGTTAATATATTCGAGGTTGTTTTTCCGACCTCTGACGTAAAGACCCGAGATGATGCGATTGGTTATCAACATTGTATGGATGCCTTCAAGAACAAAAGTTTGGAAAAAAATTATGAAGAAACTTTCACCAAGGTTTTGTTTTGTATAATGTATATATATTATATTTTTTTACGATTCACTCTAACTGTATTCAAATGTTCACACTTTACATGTAGGCCTAAATGCAAAAATGGCTGTGTACAGAAAATAGTTGACTTGTTTGTTACCGCAAATACATCAGAGGTGGGATCATTTGCCATGGAAGAGTGATCATCTTGATCGGTCACACCTGCCACTTGCTCCTTGTCATGATTAGGAAAAGGGGAAAAATCCGTAGACAGTTTAGTTTGTTAGTTAGAACTTGCAAAAAGCTGACTTTAAACGAGACTGTTGAAATTTTTGTTTCATCGTGTTTGTCAACATCTCGCCTCACTGAAAGAAAAACCTAATGAATTTAACTAATGTGTTTCATAAAGCGTTGGTCGTGATTAGTAAACTTTCAGTTTACTGGTTTTAAAAGATTGTGATTTGTGGAGCGGGGGTCGTAAAGATACTTAGATACCTAGTGAAAGTTACTCATCAATTCTATATTTACTAATCTTATCTAGTAAATATACCAATATCTGGTAAAAGTATTAGGGTAGTGATTGTATGGACAGTGAATCTACTAGTTTTCTTCGTGACATTAACTAGTTATTTATTTACAGTGCTCTTACTCTCAGACATACTGTCTTTTATGCACACTAAAATCTTAAGGGTCACATATTGGTTTCAACATCTACTAGTATATACACAGCAAAATTCCTCTTAAAACTAAGACTTTCTAGAGCAGCATCTGGGCTGCTATTAGATATGCGTGAACAGCTGCTGTTATCTCATCGGAATCCTATAAATTCGAAAGTTTTATTAAAGTTGCTAAAAACAAAATGCATTGATGTTCATCTCTTTACATTCTAACCAAGGAGCGTGGCGCAGTGGTTAGAGCGTCTGCCCAAGAGTCGCGAAGCAAGGAGTGATCCTTGCGTCACAGGTTTGAATCCCGGGACATTAATTGAGACCAGCCCTTTGCATAAGACCGTTTAAACCGAAGTCCCGTGTCGCAGTAGGTGCTGGCACGAAAAAGATCCCTCTCTGCTCTGAGTGCCGGGTAAAGGACAAAATTTGTAGCCCTCCACCTGCAAGTGGTGGCTTCTCCAAAATGAGTGAAAATTTCTCGAGAGGGACTATAAACAACATACAATCAATCTAACAAAGGAGTTTGAACGAGAAAATTGGAACAACTTTGGAGGCAAAACGTTTACGAGAGGATTTTTTGCAATTTATATAAAAACCTGTCCCCATGGAATGTTGACAATATAACTAGTTGGTTAAAAGTTCCTCAGAACAGAGCTGGGGATTTAACAAAGAAAGTTCCTATGTGGAAACAGTCTATAAGAATACACTTTATGTAAAAGAAATGTTAAACTAAGTTTAGTTGTAATGAAAGCAGCCATGGTGTTTAAAACAGCCAAATGAAAAAGAGTCGTTTGATATTAACAATTTCAATTACTGGGAGTATTCAAACATGGAAATAGTGGCAAGTGGTTTGGTAGGCAGCATTGTACAGCTGGTTGAGCCTGTTCACCCAGGAAAAAAAAAGTGCTTTATGGATAGTTTTTCGCTGACAACCCCTTTCCCACAACCCCATATTATCCCCAACAAAAAAAACTCCTATAGCAACTACATATGTCTTGAATTGCAATCAAGATCGAATATTAGAGACTTTTAGTCCCATTTGCTTTTTGACTTTTAAAACTTGCGAGTGTTAGGACAAGGGAAGCAATTCCAACTTTCATTTATAGGTGAAAAGTACAACTTCTCCAATATGTACTGAAGGTTGAAAAGATTCCGAATTGATTTAAATCAAGGGACCTTGGAAAGGTTAAACATGATCAAGTGTAGAAGGAAAAATTTCATTAAATGTATTTCCTTGTTCTGTTGTTAATATGGTTAAGTAATTCTTTGTCCGTTTTATGATATATCTATTGCGTAACAAAATAATAAGGAAATTATATTGTGTCTTGATTGGCTTCATCCTGTGAAATTTAAATCTACTAGTAAACGTACATGTAAATACATAGGTAGTGGTTTTAAAATTTGTAAATACATTTTTTCTAAATAAAATTCCATTTAGATAATATTATAGTAATTTATTAATAGACAAAAAAATCAGCATACATCACTAGATGAAAATCCTTGTATTACTCAAAGAAAAATAGACAAAAAATGTTAAACATACATTCTAGCATCGTCTCAAGTCACAGTTCGGAGTCCGCATATAGCTCTCTCCAGAGGATCGTACATTTTGGCCGTGGTTTGCGACGACGACGTTCTAGAATTTTTTATTGGAACTCTTCAACTCCAGGGAAAAGGAAAATATAGTTTAGTTTACATTGTGTATGTCTTAAGAACATTAAAGTGAGTTTCATATTTTGATCATCTGTTAAAACATATGTGTGTATTCATTTTTATTAGAATAATAAAATGTTTTAAGGCCAAAAAAAGGACACAATTTAAATATTACCATAAGTGTTATATTAATACGAAAGCCTATTAGGATCAATCTAGAGAGAAAAAAAATTAAAAGGCGTTATAGCGCCTTTCGAAAAGGCGTAATAACGCGAAAAAAGGCGTAAGAACTCCTTTCCATTCCAAAAGGCATTATTACGCCTTTTTAAAAGGCGTTATTACGCCTTTCCATTCTAAAAGGCGTTATTATGCCTTTCCAAAAGGCGTTATTATGCCTTTTTAAAAGGCGTTATTACGCCTTTCTAAAAAGGCGTTATTACGCCTTTATAAAAGGCGTTATTACGCCTTTCAAAAAGGCGTTATTATGCCTTTTTAAAAGGCGTTATTACGCCTTTCTAAATAGGCGTTATTACGCCTTTCCAAAAGGCTTTATTATGCCTTTTTAAAAGGCGTTATTACGCCTTTCTAAAAAGGCGTTATTACGTCTTTTATTTTCAATACATGACTAAACATATTTAGCCCAAGCGAGTGGTGGGGGGGGGGGGGGGGGGGGGGGTTGCAGAAATCTTACCGTTGGGACATGAATTTCACAATTTGATACAGGACTAATTTCTCAAAAAATAATTTAAAGAGATAGCAAATAGTTTGCCTGCTTTTTTCCAAGAAGGGAGAAAGATATCTTCAAATGACATGAATTTTAATACATGGCAAGCAAAGCTCCAAGATACATCTGCCTACTAGTATATCGTATCTTCACAAGTAGAGTGTTGCCTTCTCTTAATACGAATGCAAACAGTTGCCAGTGAGATGTGCAGGAATAGAGAGAATTGCTTAAATAAAGATTGTTTTAATTAAATCTTTCATCTATTTATTAACATAAAAATAACGCCTTTCCATTTTCCTTTTCAAGTAGGCCAGTAGTACGAGTGCAAATGGGGGTAACCCCCCCCCCCTCCACACATACACACTTTTTGGGGAAAAGTCTTGCTACAGTTTAAATATTATAATTAACTGTTGGCTGCTTGGTTCCTGAACATTTTGCTGCAGTGTGTAAAACTGTGGCAAATTATTGCATTTAAACAAAGCTTTACCGAGAAGTCACCCAGGAGTTTGGCCAGTAGAGTGGGGGTTGTGGTGGTTGGGGAGGAGTCTTTAGAAGCACAGGCTTGTTAGATGCAAAATAATAGTTATTAAAAAAGCATAATAACCCTTTTGGAAAGGCATAATAACGCCTTTTAGAATGGCGTTAAAACGCTTTTTTGGAAAGGCATAATAACGCCTTTTAGAAAGGTGTAATAACGCCTTTAGAAAAGGCGTTATAACACCTTTTGGAAAGGTGTAATAATGCCTTTTTGAATGGAAAGGCGTAATAACGCCTTTTAGAAAGGCGTAATAACGCCTTTTGGAAAGGCATAATAATGCCTTTTAGAAAGGCATTATAACGCCTTTTGGAAAGGCATAATAACGCCTTTTTGCATGGAAAGGCGCAATAACGCCTTTTAGAAAGGCGTTATAACGCCTATTTTTGCATTATTACGCCTTTTCAAAAGGCGTTATAATCCCTTTTAAAAATCTTTTTTTCTCTTTAGAGTGATCCTAATAGGCTTTCGTATATTAAAAGGTGTCTAAAATATAGAGTATTAAATGTTTATAAAATAAATTCCCCTTTTTAAACCTAAATGCGACGTGTCTATGGAAAGTGGAGGGGGGCTAAACTTACGAAGCAATGTTCAATGTCTATACTAAGTATATATTTGGAAAAAAGAAGGGGGGGGCTAAGCCCCCCTAGCCACCCCCCCTCCAATGCCTATGTAAATAATTAAACCACTTTACTCGCATATCCATATAATATAATTTATATTACAATACAATATACACTGCCGAAGAAATTGCTGGCATAAACATGTGTTACATTGAAGTTGAGTTTTTGTCATCTTTTTTCAAATGCACTAGTAAATGAAGAGCCTCCAGATGAAAATGCAGTGTTTGAGTTGATATTAACACAGTTCTATACATCTATGTAAAATTTTGGCCCTTTTTGTCCGTTCTTTGTACAAAGGGCCATGCATTAAGTAATCTTGAATCTACATTTTTAAAATATGCTTACAAATAATACTTGTTATCCTGGAAATAAACCTATTTATTTCCGGTAAATATTTGACCCTTTTAAAAGGGCTTGTCTTTGTGCAAGGGATCATACAGATTGATCAACACTAAAATAGTATTGCTAGTTTGCATTAAGACAACATTTTTTTGTATCACAGTTTAAGAATTGATTTCTAAAGATTTTGTTCATCACCTTGTCCCTGCTCAAGGAGAAAACATCATAAATGTTAAACATGTAAGCACAACTGATGATGACAGATGAAGATTTAAGGCATTTGGACAATCAAGCAGCAACTCATATAATTTTCCAAGAAATATGTGGAAAATCGATCATTGTGACTAAATTTCATCTCATCATCCAAGTTCATGTTTGTTTTTGTAATGTTCCACACCCTGTGTCATCAAGTATCAGGACCCAGAGCTTCCTGAAAAGAAAAGAAATTAACATATTTTAAAATTCTCCTTGTAATGTAAAAAAAAATGCACAACACTACAAGTAGTTGAAAAAACAATTACTGTAACTTTTGCTTAATTGATTCATCAAAGAACTTTACATTGTTGTCTCTTGATCCTATGTTTTATCATGTCCAACTTTCATAAACAATCAAGCAATCATACAGTTCAACAGTGAGTGTTGAATCACCGTAAGAAATACTGTAAACTTGCAAATTTTGGTGGAGGGATTAAATTTCCTTTATTTCATTGTTAACAATTATCAACAAAATTAAATATTACACAAATTTCATATATGACTTTGTATTGAATTGGGTTACTTTCAAAACAATGCAGTAATCAAATAAGACACAAACCTGTATTGACAATGTTTTCCTGTACTATGCTTGATCGTCTGCTGTTTATGAAAATCTGACTCTGTAGTCTGTTTCTTTGGAGAGTTTGTCGGATGGAGGAAGGGGCAGTAATTGGGGCCATGACCTGACCCAGTATAGAGGCAAAGTACATAAAACTCAGCAACATCTGAAACAAGAAATGTATTATGTGCTATCTAGGGTATGTCACTCTGCTCAACAAAACAGAATTGACAGACTTCAGATCAAAAATATTACCGTCATAAATATTATTAAGCATCTATTAGAAAATAATATATTTAATCAGTCATCTTACTGAAATTGATGTATTGATTAAAAACTTATTTCATAAAACTTAAACACCATTACAATGTATTTGGAAATCTTGAAAGGAGAATAATTCCTTTTTGCAAAAAAAAGGGGGGTTGTTTGGTGCAACCTCTAGTATTAAATAAATTAAATTCTGCATGCTAATATAAATCAGAAAAAATCTTAAATTGCAACAAACCTGTATGGACACACAAAGATAGTTGTACCACATGTGGGGTGTCACATCTGCAGTACCTGCGAAGAAAAGACAATCCAATTTATAGGAGTCATAATTCTTTTATCCTGTGTAATAAGAAAATATCACAACTCCTATTACATATACTTTACATATATACTTACCACAGAGTGTGGATGTAGAGACTGAGAAATACAGAAACTGACAATACATCACAATAATCAGGGCAGGGTCTTTTGATACATCCTCGTGGACATCTTTCCAGGAGTCTGGCTACAGTTAATACAGAAAAGTCTGACATGTTATGTTTCTACTAATATTTTTTTTTAAACTTATAATTGAGTATAAGTGTACTATTTTTTTTCCTCAACCATAAAAATAAAGTCTCATATGCAGTTAAATAACAAAAACTGAAATATCATGGATAACAAGAAGCCCAAGGGCCCTGAATCGCTCTTCTGATAAATTGTAAAACCTTTCACTTCTATTTGAAGCCTCTAACCCTAAGTATCCTAAGACGCAAGTTGCATCAACTGACAAAGTTTGATAATTCTTAACCAATTAGGACTGAAGATATTTTAATAAAGCTATAAAAAAAAAACATAAAAGTAGGTTATAGTGACCTACTTTAAGACTGAATTTTCTGAGGACTCAAGATGCATTAATAGACAAAGATTGAAGATTCTAAGCCAATAAGTATTTGAGATATTCTGTTGTCTACATTCTTGGAAAACCCCAAATGCATCAACTGACAAAGTTTTGATTATTCTAAGCTAATAAGTACTCAAGATACTTAAATATAGCCATAAAATGTCAAAAGTAGATCACTGTGACCTAATTTTTAGTAGACGATTTTTGAAAACCCAAGATACATCAACTGAAAAAATTTGATGATTCTAAGCCAATAAGTACCTGAGATATTCAAAAGTAAGTCACCATGACCGACTTTTTGGTCGACATTCTCCGAAAACCAAAGATGCCCCATCTGACAAAGTTTAACTATTCTAGGTCAACCAGTATTGGAGATATGAAAATATAGCCATAAGATGTCAAAAGTAGGTAAAGGTGATGTAATTTTTGGTTTGTGTTCCCCGAAAACCCAAGATTCATCAATTGACAAAGTTTGATGATTCTAAGCCAGTAAGTACCTGATATACTTAAATATAGCCATCAAAATGTCAAAAGTATGTCACTGTGACCTACTTTTTTGTCTACATTCTTTGAAAACCCCAAATGCATCAACTGACAAAGTTTGATTATTCTAAGCTAATAAGTACTCAAGATACTTAAATATAGCCATAAAATGTCAAAAGTAGGTCACTGTGACCTAATTTTTAGTAGATGATTTTTGAAAACCCAAGATACATCAACTGACAAAGTTTGATTATTCTAAGATAATAAGTACTCAAGATACTTAAATATAGCCATAAAATGTCAAAAGTAGGTCACTGTGACTTAATTTTTAGTAGACGATTTTTGAAAACCCGATACATCAACTAACAAAGTTTGATGATTCTAAACCAATAAGTACCGGAGATACTTAAATATTGCCATAAAATGTCAAAAGTAGGTCTTTGTGACCTATTTTTTGGACATCATTCTCCGAAAACCTAAAATGCATCAATTGACAAAGTTTGATGATTCTAAGCCAATAAGTACCCGAGATACTTAAATAAAGCCATAAAATGTCAAAAGTATGTCACTGTAACCTAATTTTTGATTGTCACTCTCCGAAAACCCAAGATGCATCAACTCACAAAGTTTGATGATTCTAGGCCAATAAATACCTAAGATACTTAAATATAGCCATAAAATGTCAAAAGTAGGTCATTGTGACCTACATTTTGGTCATCACTCTTCAAAAACCCAAGATGCATCAACTCACAAAGTTTTATGATTCTAAGCCAATAAATACCTAAGATACTTAAATATAGCCATAAAATGTTGAAAGTAGCTCATCGTGACCTACAATTTGGTTTACATTTTTCGAAGTCCCAAGATGCATCTGCTGACCAAGTTTGATGATCGTAGATTTGAAGGTAATCTAAATATGCCATTTAAACAATCTGAAAACAAATACCTGCAAAATTCAAAAAGTAGGTCACAGTGACCTACTTTTTCATGAATATGTTTTTTAAGGTCCCAAGATGCAGCAACTTACAAGATTTGATGATTCTAACCCTCTCAGTGTCTGAAATAATGGGATCAAACTTTTTAAAAAGGATTAGTCATTCAGTTCAAAATGTAAGTCATGGTGACCTACACTACTGGACGAAAAAAGTGCTGAGAATCCCAAATTTTACTGATAAAGTTTGATAATTACTGATACTGTGCTGTTGTTGCTGATAAATACTGATATTTACTGTTATTTTTACTGTTGTTGCTAATATTTTTTGTTGTTTCTGATAAATTCTGATAATTACTGTTGCCTTTTACTGTGGAGTCTGATAAATACTGTTGAGGTACTGTCGTTGCTGAGAATTGCTGATAATTACTGTTGAGGTACTGTCGATGCTGAGATTTACTGATAATTACTGTGGTCATTGTTTTTGACCTGGTAATTGGTTTAAAATAAAACAGAGGGCTATAAAAACCTTCAATTATTGCTTTCTTTTACTTGAATTATCATGACAAAATTTTCATATCTCTTTAAATGTCCTGCTTGTGACAAAATTACATGACTGTATGTATGTATGCTGATTTCAATTTCTACATTACGTTTGTGACAATTTTGACAATAATCAAATGAATTATTAATAGAATGAATATATAGCAATAGAATTAATAAAAAAAAATTAATGAAGAAAAAAAAATGGAATTTTACTTTTGCAGATCTTATTGAAAAAATAAACAGTAAATCAAAAGAAAATTATGCTATCTTAAAAAAAGATCCATCGCCGCCTTTCCCGACTCCAAGAAAATTATGTAGGGAGATCGGTGATCTTTTTTTTCAATAATAAGAAAAAAGTTCTTAATGGATAGAAAAAAAATCGGGATAAAAAAAAGTTTCCTGCAGGTTAGAAAAGTTGGATTTGTTCCGTTTTCACTACGTCAACTGGTCGAGTTTGGACAACATTTTGCTTTTGAAGGCCTTTTTTTCTCGAAAACAATTATATTTATCTTGTTAAATGTTCAGTTTTCTGGTCTCTTTTTGTCGAAATATTTGAAAATTTGCTCGAAAATTAGAAATTTTATCCCTTTTAAAAAGTAACCAAGAGGTGAAAACAGGTTTGAATATGTTCAATCTGTGGTGCACTGATTTTAATTAATAATTTATTTATTTATTCATTTATTTTAATGTTATGTAGACGTTTGTAGATCCTCCAAGAATAAAACTCCTCCACATGTACATATGTACAAGTACACACTGTATGCATGTGCAACCGGCAAATGGGGCGAGCTGATTAAAAATTAGAGGTTAAGAATCCCTAGTGCAAAGGTACATGTGTTTAGTTTGTCTCTTAAAATTTAAATACAAAATCATTTTTTATTTCATCAGTTTTGAAATCTCATTAATTTTTTTTAATTTGATTTTATGGAATGGGAAATAAGAACTGAAATGAGACTTAATTTAATATGTTACTATTATGGCCACTTGCATACCTTTAGCTCAGGTAACCCTGATTTAATAGGTGATCTTGGGATCAGATAACCCTGTCTTAAACCTGGCTTAAGCTGTACTCAGGTGAGAAGTAGTTGGGTTGCAAACCTGTGATTCAACTCTTTCTTACCTGAATACGGCTTAAGATTATCTCATTCCTTGAAAATAATGGCAACAAGACAGAAGTCAGCAAATTTTTCTGAATTAGAAAAAGAAATTTTGTTAGAGCTTATCCATGCTAGAAAGGACATCATAGAAAATAAGCAGAAAGACGGCAGAATGGTTAGTAAGAAGAACACAGAATGGATAAATATTGAGAAAGAATTTAATTCGAGACATGGTGTAAACAAGAGAAGCATAACACAGTTAAAATCATTATGGAAAAATCTAAAAGCCAGAACGAAGTCTGCTGTTGCTAAGGAGAGGAGAGACAAGAAAAAGACAGGTGGAGGACCATCTGGAAAAAACTTAGATAAAATTTCCAGCACCATATCCGAAATGCTTCCTCAGCATATTTTTACTTTGCAAAACCCATATGACGATGATGCAAGTCTCCATGAAGATGAATCAGAAGATGACAATGAAGATTCAGATGATAATGACGAGGTACTATAGTATACTAGTATTTTGTCAACATTATTGGATTAAAAGAATTTTAATGAAAATATCTTTTCATATATGTATGCACTGTAGATTTCTTATTTTTCAACCTTTACATATAAATCTGCGATCCCACCATTGTTGTCAAATTACAAGAACATGAAAAAGATTTGGCGCACCCATCATTTACAATAATTCTATATGTAATAATATAAATATTCAGCCATTAAAAATAAAAGTGTGATTTTAAAATACGTGTTCAAACAAAAAACATTACATCAATGATATATTTTATTTACTCATAATATTTACAATGAATGTTTCACTGTTCACAGATATTGACAACCAACACAATTCAGGAAGATGCGCCAATAATGTCGGAAGAATCTGTCAAACCGCAACAATCTATGTCCAGAGTCCCTGGTACCAAACGAAAAGCTGCTGGTCCCGGACGTCAAGACCAAGTCAAGAGTAGACTCCTGGAAATAGCAGAAATAGAACATAAGAAGAAAATGGCAATCCTCCAGTTGAAAGAGGACATACTAAAGTTAAAGAAACAGAAACTAGAGAACGAAATAAAATTAAGTGAACCTAAGTTGCCTGGACCTCCAACCACTACTTATGGAAGTACAGATTCTAACAACAACTGTGGCTCTTTCTGGCAGCCATATGCTCAATGAATGGTATATTAAATATTTGATAATTGAAAAATTAAATTTAAAATAAATTAAACTTACTTGTCTGGATTTTTTTTTTTTTACTAAAAATGCCTTATCAAAGCTGCTCTTAAAGCCTGTCCCCCTTGGTTTACATTTGGTGGCACTGGAACTGGAACTGCTATATCTTCTTCATCCTCGTCATCTGGTACCGGTATGGCAGCTTTCTTGGCAATATTATACAACACTGCACAAGCAATAATAACGTGCAAAGTTGTAGAAATTTTAAATCTCAACTGGTTTCTAAGGCAGGGAAAACGTCTTTTCCAAATGCCAAATACATTTTCAATCTTAACTCTACTGTTACTTAAAGCAAAATTAAAGCGTCTCTCTTGTGGTGTCCGGCAAGTAAGAAGGGGTGTTATCAAATAAGGTTTGAGAGCGTATCCATTATCTCCAATCAAAATCCCAGGAATATTTCTTCTCTCAAAATTAGCACAGACACTACTGTTGTCAAAAATCCGACTGTCATGGGTACTTCCCGGCCATCTTGCAACCACATTTGTAAGCATAAGATCATTGTCACAAATTGCCTGAACATTGATGGAGAAAAATCCTTTCCTGTTTCGAAAAATTTCTGCCGTGTCACCTCCGGGTGAATGTATTGGAATATGGGTACAGTCTATTGCACCCACAATTCCCGGAATACCACTATGGTTCATAAAACCTCTTTGGATTTCAGTTAGTTTATTTCCTGATGGAAATACTACATAATTCTTGTAAAGCGATGCCAATGCAGATGATACTTTCTTCACAATTCGAGAAGCTGAACTTTCATGAACTCCAAAGAGATCTCCAGAAACTCTGAGTAAACACCCAGTTGCGTAAAACCGTAAAGCTATTAGTAGTTGGTCAAGTGGTGATATTGCTGAAACCTTCTTTTGTTTTGGCTCCAGGTGTTCCCCAATTTCATTTAATAATTCAATTACACATTCCTTTCTTAAGCAAAATCTGTCAATAAATTCTTCTTCCGAATATTTCAAAAAAGGGTTTGTCCTGTCTCTTACCACTCTTTCTCGCCTGATAAGTCTTTCCACTAAATAAATTTGGTCTATCTCATCAAAATAATACTCCATCACTTATAAGCCTTCCTTTAAACCTGCCCATTACCTGGTTTACATTAAACCACAATGCTGAGCTCTACTCAGGTAAATCAGAGAGGTCTGCAAGTGATTTGATAATTTTGAGCCTGACTTAAGTCTAGATTACCTTGAGCCAGGCTTAAACCAAACATGTACAAGTGGCCACTAGTATATGATCAAATTGATCGATTTTAATTTTGCATGGTAAAAAGTTGAAAGGAAAACACCTTTAAATTGATTTCAGTTGATCAGAAATCGGTGATCGACCTGTGATTTGGCTGTATTGTGTACATGTCTTCAGCCCCGGGGTAGATCAGGGTACAACTTGTATATTCCATGCAAATCGTAGTGGTCAGCGTAACAATGGGCACTAATTACCTATTGTTCTTCGTCTGCGGCACCGGTGTTATCAATAAACAAACTACCTACACTGTACATGTAATCGCTACTTTAGAACAATCTTAAAGTTTATGGTCGCACGAAAAAAAAAATTCCGTAATATTGAATTTGATGACGAATAAAATTGATAGAAAAAATATTTAGAATAGAACACTTTGGTACTATAATAAAAAAAAAAGATATATACATGTACATCATGTACGTTGTACAGACTTATTTTAATTATTATTTCAATTCTCAAAGATTCATCTTTCTTCAGTATTTAATTTTATTTTTTAGTTTTACGCATATTTCTTCAATCAATCAATCATTTATTTGAATCTTTTTACCATTTTACATTAGTATACATAGACCACAAAAACATAGAAAATGTAGGTGATTTTATACATAACAGTAGGTCTAAAAGGCATGCGTGAATAAGAAACTAAACAAAAAAAAAATTGTAGGTTGCTATAAATGCGAAGTAAGGGAATCTAGGCCGGGTAGTATATTTTGTTTATCAGATAAAAGAATATCCCGGGGGAGGTGGTCACATGTATTTTCAATTCTGAATCTCTGCTAACGATGGTTTGGGACCATTGACTTCACTTTTTAATAAAAAAAAAAAGTGTGCAAAATAATGAAAATATACAATCATATAGATATAAAGAGAACGATTGGTTAGTGAAGCACTTTTTTGAAATAATATTAGCATTTATTGTTCACAATTCAGATGCAGGGAAACTCCACTTCGCTTAATCCGAGAAAAAAAAAAACCTTAAATGTATGGATTTTGAATGTCAGAAACATGACGTTGTGTATCGCACTCATGAATAAATGTTATAATTACTTCAGTTCTGAATTTTGTATGGTTCATTGCAATTGATTCTCTAAAATAATTTTATTCATGCATATAAAAAATTCGATAAGTATAATATCATAACTTGCATGACTTTTAAAACACACAACTAAAGAACAGACCTTGCCCTATCGGCTATCACTTAATTGTAAACAGTATTTCACCCCCTCCTTTTTGTGCTACAATCAAGTAAAATCATATAAATAAGCACCAAGTCTGTACCGTTCGTTTATACAAAGGTCTCGGACAAAAATGGAATAAAAAAAAATTATAATCTCTGCACAAATTTTTAATTTTACAAAAACGCAAGCCGTAACGATATCCCTATGGCAGAATGTACTAATAATTGACCCGATTCTAAAACGAAAGTAGAACTTTTACACGTGGTTGACATGTATGTTCCAGAACAACAAGCACAAAGTTTGCATTAATGGAAAAAGTTAATTCAAGTTATGATTTATTTTATTTTGTTTTTTTAACTGACTGACCGCATATAACATGTTTAAAGAGTGGCGCATAATATTAGAAGCCATATGCCCATAGACTTAAAACTGTGTACAATGAAAAAAGAATTAGCCTAAAGAAAGATGTGTATTTCATTGACTGAAAATCACACTGCATAAGATTTATGTCATGTAGTGTACAATACTTAAGCCTTAACAAATAATTTAAAGGAGAGAGAGAGAGAGAGAGAGAAAGCTAGAAAGCGACACAATGATATAAAATTCGCAGGGAGGACATCGGAGAACTAGAGCGCGCTGTCCACATAATATATAAAAAAAATAATTAAAGATGCTTCAGTTTCATTATTTAACCCTGTCACATTCTTCTATAAAATAACAAAGTGTACGCTTCAAGACTAGATTTTATGACAAATATTTAATAATGTCTTGTTAAAATGAGAGCTTAATTTAAAAGTAAATGGAAAGGGGGGGGGGGTTTCAACTTAATGTGCTCTCATGCATTTTCAGTTCTCCACACGGTAAAATAAATTGATATTTACAACCATTGACTGTATTGAAGTATTAAAGATACCCACAAAAAGCTTTTGATGACAGTACACATACATGTGAGAAAAAATATAAGATGAGATTTTTTTAACCTTTATGAACAAATATTAAACTTTTAAAAAAAAGTACTTGGGAAGAAAAAACCACTGCAAATACAACAGAATATTTTTCCTCAGATAATGTCATCTACGTGTAAGGAGAAATTTAAAGAAAAAACATAAACATTTATGAAAGCTTATGTTAACATTATGGTCTAAAAATAATTATAATGAAATTAATAGCTGAAAACTGAAAACAAATTAATAAAACGTGACTTTTTTATTTAGAATAATTTATTTTGTAATTGACTGTAATGAATTTGTTAAAATACTTTAAAAAAAAAAAAACAAACAAATAATCATTTCTCAGGCTATATTAATCCATTCCCAGGTTAAAAACAATGACCACAGTAATTATCAGTAAATCTCAGCATCGACAGTACCTCAACAGTAATTATCAGTAATTCTCAGCAGCGACAGTACCTCAACAGTATTTATCAGTATTTATCAGACTCCACAGTAAAAGACGACAGTAATTATCAGTATTTATCAGCAACAACTAAAATTATCAGCAACAACAGTAATAATAACAGTAAATATCAGTAAATATCAGCTAGAACAGCACCGTATCAGTAATTATCAAACATTATCAGTAAAATTTGGGATTCTCAGCACTTTTTTCGTCCAGTAGTGCTACTTTTAAGTTGACATTGTTCGAGGACCCAAGATGCATCAACTGACAAAGTTCGAAGATCATAGGCCTTTAAAGTGTCCAAAATATGCCTCCAAATCAATTTGAAGAAAAATGCTTGCAAAATTAAAAAAAGTAGGTCACCATGACCTACTTTTAAGTTAACATGATGTGAAGTCCTAAGAACATTAGATGCATCAACTTACAAGATTTGATAACCCTAGTCCTTATAGTAAGCAAAATATAAATGTTTTTATTAATTGTAAATTTAGGTCAACTTTAAAGTGACCTTGAGACCACGCCCTTTGCCCCAGGGTAATTCCCCATGCAAATTTTAATCTTCAACATATCCTGATCCTTGTATATAAGTTTGGTGAAAATCTGCCGAGTGGTTCTGGAGAAGAAGAGTTTTTAGCAACCAGTATTTTTGGTTTTGTTTTCCTGATTATCTCCCTTTGTTTAAAGGTCTCAACTCTTATTTTAGTATAAATGGTAGCCCTTGAGCCAAGGATACCCTGTGACAAATTTGACACTGATTGGCCAAGGGGTTCTTGAGTTATGGCCCATATTCTAAAAAGTTAACGCACACCGCACAAATGGCCATTAAGTATTAGCTCTTTGAGCCTTTGGCTCAGAAGAACTAAAAATAGTTTGTTCCTAGCACATCTATTTACTGCAATCATAAAAAAATGGAACTTACAGCTAGTCTTTTAGTGAGTGTGTAGATCCCAGCAAAAACCAAGATGGCTGCCACATAGGACTGTGCCAGGAGCAAGGCACTGACCTCATGTAGAAACAACTGCCTCACCAACTTCACTGAGCATATAAATACATGACTATATATGCTTATCTTATTTAACAGGTCTGAGTGTCAACTTTTATTATTCACAAAAAGTTAAAAAATATGCTTTACCTGAACTAATAAGAAGTAAAATCAGATTCAAAACTTGTAGCAATATCATGGTCAAACAACTCTGTAAGATAAATTGATCAATGTTTAGATTTTTTAAAATTTAATTTAAAATCAATCAAATTGTTATAAATATTAATATTTCTACGATTCATTTTTTGTGTTTTCTTTTAAAAGGTTTTTCTTTAATTTACTTTGAGTTCAAAATTATATACAAAGTTCATGATTTTTATAATTCTTGATACATGTACTTAATTAGTTTACTAATCATGCTAATAATCTTGCTTTTTCCCCTTTAAAGAAAACTGCAAAAGCAAAACTGTACAAAAAATGATGCAGCATTTATTAAAAATTTAAAGTCTATTAGAATTTGTATTTCAAGTCTTAAATTTGCAGATATTGCACTTTTAATTTCATAAAAAATAAATTCTGTTTAAGTCAGGCATTATAGCCAGGTATGTATACACAATATCAAGTAAAACTAAGACAAAGAGCTATTGTATCCAAATATGACAATTACTATTTTGATTTTGCATGACAATAAGACATATAAACATGTGCACAATAGCAAAATAGGCAACATTTAACCCCTACATGGAAGCAGTTATTACTTAATCTCTCTTTTTTGCAAAGAATAGGTTCAAAGATCTATAAAGTCTTTGATAAAAGATATGCATAATGTCAGAAACTTCCTATTTCACTTTAAAGACTACAAAAATCAATGGTACATTGTGAGGCTGTAATACTTGATTTGTGTTCCTAAACCTACCACAACAAGCTCTGTGTAGTCATCTTTCTGTGGCCATATGTCTATCAGTGTCTGTATGATTAGATTGATCCCCTACAATACACATATAGTAAAACATGGATATAATGAACAGTCTTATAATGTATAAATGCCTATAGCAATGATTCTACTACTACATGAGTGTAATTTATTTCAACTTGATAGATTTAAGGAATTACATTAAAAAACATTCAAAGTTGTTTACTACCACTACATGACTGTAATTTATTTCAACTTGATAGATAAGGAATTACATTAAAAAACATTCAAAGTTGTTTATCCTTGGAACTCTTGCTATAAATGTGTTTACTGTATATACCGTATAATCCCTATTAACCACCCTGCCCCTATAATCACCCCCTTAGATCTTTTTCAATTGTCAGGATATAAGGGCCCCCTGTACATGCAGTGATATCGTATCAAAAGTCTGCCAAATTTTGATGAAAGTGAAAATGAAACCTGTCCATTGGAGAACACTCTTTCATTATAAGTTTTCTATTTTGAAAATTGGAACAAAACGAGGACACCCCCTCCAACCCTTTTTCACACATACTCTTTTTAAAAAGAGTAGTAATTAAAGCATTCATACCTGGAGGGCTAATGTTAAAATGATGACTTTAATACTAGCTGTTACTTTATCCAATATATGATCACATTTTCTTTTGAGGGAGAACAAAACTCCTGACTGAGTTCTTTCTGGTGTTGTAGTATCATTCTGTAAATTTAATTAAATAATAATTAATTATTTTCTGCTTGAAACTCTTTAATTAAATATCAATTTGTGCAAACTGATGAAATCTAATTTCAATTTTACTTAGTTTCAGCTCTTTAACAATAACATCAGCTGATGACTTTTAATTTTCTTTCAATTTACTCTTCAATGATTTCACCCCCCCCCCCCCCAATCCTCTACCTCAAAAAACTGAAATTGCTAAATTCCCATTTGTCCACTATCAATACAAGAGTGCATTATACATCTAGTTTTGCATTGGTTTTGGGCCTCTTGCATTTTAGTTATTTTCTAAGGGGCAGAGCAGACCAAAAAAAACAAAACAAACAATTTGCAAAGATAGTGTGATTGTACATACTAATTATAGATATATACAGAATTTAAACACTGCATTAACAGCAGTCAAAAATTAGGCTCCATAATTTCATGACTATTGGTCCCTGCTGAAGGAAATAAGATCAAAAGGGGGGGGGGGGTATATATAAATTCACACATATAGATACACTGTTATGTTGTTTAAATCTTGACTGTTTGACCATTATGATCATAAAGATCAAACAACTATTAGATAATTAAAGCAAATAATTTGGTTATCTTGAGTTCAGACTCCATATACATATGTCACTTTATACTATATTATGTTCTATTGTTTATTTTATATATCTAGAGTACATTGCAGTCTGGGGGTAATATCGGGGACCCTACCTGGGTGTTATTTAACTCCAGGTCACCGAGGTACCTCCGCAGTAACGCACTCGTCTCCTCCAGCTGGTCGGCCAGTTTCAGGGCTTCATACTGTGACAGCTGCAGAGGCTTTCCTGTTCTGCAAAAAATATATTAATTTGCATGATGAGATTGTCTGTTAAAGCATAGGCAATTTTAAACTAGAAGTTTCTGTGAGCAATGAGCTCACTAAATGATACCCCCCCCCCCCCCCCCCCTTTTCCTCTGGGAGACCTGAAATAAGCATGAAATCTTCGCTACTTTCTTTCTCTGCAAAGATATAGACATAATATAGGCATTGAAAATTGGGGTTTACATTTTTTGTTGGTTTAGCCTTCCCTTTCAATTAGCCCCCCCTTTCAATCTGCTTCTGATGCAGTATTATAAGTATTGACGCAGTATTAAGTATTATCTGTGGATCGATTTATTATATTAATAGTGTATATCATCTTTTTCAATTCTTATTATCTTGATTAGATTTGAATCATTATTTTAATTAATTCACAAACAGAGTAAATATATATATACATGTATATTGTTTTGCAGACCACCATGAACAGTGGTTCATGTGATGGGTATATTCTATGTGATGAATGCAGATCACAAAATGATCAAGTAGTAATACAGTAGTAGGCTTAAGTAAAAACCTGATCATTCTTGTGAGGCATAACTGTACAAATGAAATACTGACGCATGGCTGTAACAGCTTAATCGAGCTGCATTTTAGAAATTCAATACTCTTACGAAATGCTGTTTTAAATATAACTGTATGTACCTGTAGGATCTAGATGCAGCCTCCTCGTCCTCGTAACTGCCGATCAGGGGGTCGTCCAAGTCCTCCCCTGTGTGGTCCCACACTAATTCCTCCCGAGACATCTTTGTGTATTTTACCAGCTAACAATTAACACAGCATGTATGATGTAAGCTATGTACACATCCTGTATATTACACCGGGACTTTGTTGTGATCATGTGATCCGTGCTAAATATAGATGCAAGCATGGTCAGTCGATCGGAACACCTCGGTTGATTACACTATCCTCAGACCCTTGACCTAGGGCGGGTGTTTCAAAGTGTTTCAATGGAAAAGCTAGCCTAGCTTAGAACTGAAGCAGGGGAACAGACGAAAGATGTTGCAGATAATTAGAAAATAGGTGACGTAAGGTGTGCATTTAACATTTTCCCCTATTCATTTATTTGACCAATTATAAGCACATGGGGGGTGGGTCTTGTCCTTGAGCACCTGTTTGATAAAATAAAATAGTAATTAGTTACTAGGTAATTAAATTGAATCCAACAAAAACACATTCATGAGACATGCAGCACATGCTGGACTAGCTCTTTGCACATGGGCATATATTAAAAAAAACTAAAAAAGATATTCAAAAGATATTCATTTCCTTGAATTTTAGCTTTAGTTCTCAGAAAAAGTGTAGATTACAGTTTGTACATAAATCTTTAGGCCTATGTTTTGTTCAAACAATCCCAATCCCTCAACCTGGGATAGTCCGAAATATCTGACGTTTTCCAGGGCGAGGCCTTTTTTAGCTAACCTGAGCCAATGGATCGAGTGAGCTTTTCTGATCAAAATTTGTCCGTTGTCTGTCGTCGTTGTCATCGTCGTCGTCATCGTTGTTGTAAACTTTTCACATTTTCAACTTCTTCTCAAGAACCACTGGGCCAATTTCAACCAAACTTGCTACAAAGTATGAATTAGAGAAAAATTAATGGAATTTAAAAAAAAAAAAATCTTCTTCTCAAGAACCACTGGGCCAGGAAAGATGAAACTCTTGTGGAATCATCCTCAGGTAGTGTAGATTCAAGTTTGTTCAAATCATGAATCCCGGGGGTAGGGTGTTGTGGAGTAGATTTCGGATCGGAAACCCTTGGCTAGCGAAGATGTATAACAGTATGTGACTTTGTATTCATCATCCCCATGCTTATTAATATTAAAGTTTAGACTAATGACTAATTTCTTACATGCCATGGAGATGATCTTGGTCAGTGCAAATTTAGTGACATGTAATGTACAAGCGAATAAACCATATGATATCTAAATAAAAATCAGTGTTGTTCATCTAGAAATAATTGTTTGCTCTGATCTTTATTTTTTCTAAATTTTCCCATGATATTTCCTATCCCTTTCCCATGCATTTATTTGCTGGTACAGTATATACATTGTAGGTATAATAATTGATTTCTCTAATAAAGTTCACAAATTAAGCCTTAAGAATTTGCCAAACATTGACCACCTAGATTGTATATTGATTTAAAAGGAGTATCAGTATAAATAGTGACACTTTTAATATTTGCCTATTTAAAAAAAATCAACCATTGACATTAACTAGAAAAAAGTCTTGTTTAATTTAAATGACCAGTACACCTGGTAAAGAATATGATTTGATTCAGCAAATTTGTACATGTAGTAAGAGTTATCTCCCTTATAATGCATAGTCAGCATATATACACTTCATGTTTTCTGTGAGTGTATATGAGTCAAACTTTTTATTATGATCCTGTGTTGACCTGTATTAATACATCATAATTTGGAGGAGATTTTTGACAAAATATGTCATATTTTTATGATCGATGCAATTTTAGCATACCTCTTATGGTGACTTAACCAATATCTATTTATTTCTACTTTTAATGGCTTGTTAAAGAGTCATAAATTCTGTGTAGGAACTGAATTTTTGAGTAGGTTGATAAATTATTTGAAAATATAGAAGTGCTATAAAAGTAAATATATTAATAATATGTAACAATGTATTGAAGGGAAATATAAAAACCAGTGGAGCAAAAAAGGAAATTCTCAAAAGACATGGGTGGTTTTTGCGGGTTTATTTGTGTGGCCGTTTTATTGACTTTTAAGAACTCCATGGCAGTTGGAGGAGTCTTTAAACTGCATTGTAATACAAACTATCAATGTAAGGTTAAATCAACATGTTATTGCAGTTTAATGCTATTTAAAAGTACACAAGTAAATTAAAGAAGAAAAAATTATGTTATTTTTGTCGAGAGATTTCTTTTGATGCCACATAAAAGTCTCATTCATTTGCAACATATGATTTGTGAAAAAAATCTTTCAAAGACATGTTGTGGCCAGTGACAAAAAAAAAAGGAATGTGAAAAATGCTTTGTCCCAGAGGAAAACACTAATATTCGAGTAACCTACCCAAAAGGAAGGAGTGATCGGGAAAGTTGCTTGTTTCTCTGGCAATGTCGTGTCTTAAATTTATCTATTTTCACAAGGATATGTTAGATTTGCCCATTTAACAACAAAGCAGGTGCCTGTCTTTATGTAATGCCTTGTCATGGTTTTAAGGCGGTCTATCCCAGAGACAGACAAAATTACCAAACCTTTTCAAATTCAGATTGGGATGCCACACAAAAAATACCAGGTCAAATTCCTCTTAGGAATGATTGGCATTTCAAATATTATATTGATTTTAGCTTTAGGACTCTCTAATCCTTTTGTGTATTTGTATTCATGTAAGGTTTTTCTCTCCTGAAAAATTCATAATGCAAAAGTATAAACAGAGATCAAAAGCAAAAAGTTCACTGTCATAACAATTCCCTCCCACATGTTTATCAACTGTCAAAACTGACCAAAATTTTTTTCTTTGAAATTTCTGGCTGTCATGATTATATATTTAACTTAAATATACAGTTTTATCATTTTCTCCAATCATAATTAAGTTAAAGCAAAATAAGATATAAATATTAAATTCCTCATTTTGAATCCTGTATCTTTAAATTATGCTTGCTGTTGAAATACATGGGTGAGTGGATTCAACCCTTATAAAAGATTGAAGATCAAATGGGTCCCCCCTCTAATACAGGAAGTAAGTCACAAGCTTAAGTCCACAGAGGCAATATGGCTGAAGAATTTAAAGATACAGTACATTATATTCAAAATCTATGCACAGAAAGCCTCGGGGGAGGGGGGATAAAATCCCTCAAGACTAGTATGTCCTGTAACAAGCAAAAATGATACATGGCAGGAAATGTTTTAACTTTGTTGAAACAGTTTACATTTGTAGTATTACCTGCCAATATTATGTCGAGCACTCTAAAGCGCACTCTTCAGCTGTTGCCAAATGCTACAAAAAATGATAAAAGAATAAACATTGCCAGGTTAGGCAGGAACAGCTGGTTTATATCAGATAAAGCTGTAGTTGCCAAGTTTACCTGTGTATCACTTTTATTACATTTATACAACTGTTTACATTACTAAAAATATTATAGGTTTTAGGAGTCTTGTATTTGATGACTCAATATAGAACCAGAAGTCTCTGATGAGGCTGTAGCTCTTCTGGTTTGTACTCGGATCAAAGATCTAATTTTTAATTAGATTGATTGAAGTCAGCTAGACCTGGCAAAACTGCAGGAGGAGTAGTGTTTTTGGAAATGGTTTACAGAGGGACAGACAGACAGCTAAGAGATATACGGAGGGACAATTGACACCTCACTAGATTTCCTCCATCCTTTGATTTAAAATTAAATAAATTTTAATAGATTGTATTCTTACTTTAAATAAAGATTATTTTAGGAGATGCAATGGACATGCAGCAGCTTTTAAAGTGAATTGTTTGTCTTTTCCTTGTATTTGTGGCATCTTTTTTTAATTTGTAGTCAAAAACATTTTAAAAATGTTTGTGACCTTGTAAAATTAAAGATTTTTAAAAAAAGATAGGATTTATAGTTTTAAAAAGAAGTGGGGAACATTTTTTAATGCAAAGGTACCACATATAAATGAACAGTGAATTTTGTTATTTATATATGGAATAAAAAAAGTCAAAGAGGATATATTGGATGTTGCAATTTAGAACAAAGAGGCAATTGTGTAATATATTTCTAGTTTTTGGAATGTCAACCAATTTTACAAGAGTTGTTGCTAACTCTTTCAGATAATATATATTCTTTAAATAATTTTTTAAAATAATATATAAGATTTTCTTCCGTTGATGTTTTATATTGATAAAATCAAGGTATTGAAAATATAATTGATTAAATTGATCACTCTATTGAACAGTGCATCCAAAACATATAATGCACTCGAAAAATTAGCTGTTGGACTGGCAAAATGTTGCCCTTGGCCTGCGGCCTCGGGCAACATTTTCAACTTTAAAAATAAAATTGATACCCAGTCAATAACTTTGATATATGGTGTAAAAAATTCCATTTTATAACCAAAAAGGATATATTGCATGTTGCAATTTAGAACAAAGAGGTGTGTGTAATATATTTCCAGTTTTGGAATGTCACCCATTTTTTTGTCTATTCACTTTCAGATAATATTATCTTGAAGAAATAGTTTAAAGTAATTTAAGCATTCTTCCGTGAGTTTTATGTTGATAAAATCAAGGTATGAATTAAATAGTATACTGTATTGGTGCATCCAATACATATAATGCACTCGAAAAATTAGCTGCTGGCATTTCGAGCATTTTAAACTTTAAAATAAAATTGATAAAGAATTTTGAATTGCTGCACATGTATATGTTTAATTTTAAAAAAAAACCATTAAACTTGATTTACAGATATATGATTAAAAAGTATCTGCACATTTAACAATTAATGTTTCAATATCCATTCAAATTAAAGAGATCACTGTATGATTAAAAAATTTTAAGAAATTTGATAATTTGAAATTTAAATCTACATATATTTATATATAATAATGCTATCTGGTCATGAGGTCTATTGTGCTTTTATCCATTTTTTATTCAAAAGAATAGATTATATTTCTTTAATTCAGATAATCAATAATCTTCTCTTTTTTATCCACTTGAAATGTAATGGCTTTTTATCTGAATCGTTGATTGATTCATTAACAAAAATTCTCATCAATATTTGTTAATATTTTCTATTTTATTTTATTTTTTTCAGGTATAGACGCACCATCTACAAGAGTATGAAATATAAAAGAACACGTACTGAATCAATGGGTAATATGTTTATAATCTCTCTTATTTGGCCTTGACTGCATTTATCACACTGGGGAATCTTATTAATACCTTTGTGCAGTAAAGTCTATGGTGATTTACAGAAATTTTATTATAACTTTTATTATATCCCTTTTTATGCGGGCAAATAAGCTTAGCTAAAATCTATTATCTTCTGGAGGGAAATTTGACGAGGTTACCTAGAAATCATGAATTTATATTTATTGATAAACTGTCGCCATAAATTGAGACCCAGAACATGAGAGGGGCTAGATGGCACTTGGTGTTTTATATTAGGCTTTGCTATAAATTTTTTGGCGTCACCGATTTCGAGCATATTTGAGCAAAACAATTTGATTAATGGGAATATTTGATCTACTGTGTTTTTATCTTGAAAGAAAAGCTTTGAAGCAAAATGAGATTAGGTGGACATTTTTTAAGTGTCTAATGAAATTTGAATAGTAAAAGGCCCTGAAATATTGGAATGATTTCCTTTGTGTTGTCATAATATAAGCAGTAATTAATTTTGATGGTCCTAAAAAAATCACCTCTTTGTGTTGATAGATTGACTGGATATGGGAAAGATAAAAACCCCTTGAAGTATGAAGCTGAAACAAATGGTAAATAAAATTTGTGTGAAATTACAGGGGAACAGAATTGGCATACACTAAGAAACAATTAATTGCTTCCACAGAAACAATACTTATTAATTCACATCTGCTTATCATGTAGGGTTGTCTGGAATTTGGGTGTTGTACAGAATAGTGGGTCCTAGTATGCTAACAATACAGAGAACACTCAACTGAGCACCACTTGTTACAATAAAATCTCTTCAAGGGAAGGAAAGTTATTTGTTTTTGTTCTAACTCTGATATCTTTTTATGTCAGTCGAATTAGCCAGAGATAACAATGTCATTATTATTTCGGAATGTAGACTCTCTGGGTGATGGTGACATTTATGGACTCAAGCCAAAAATCGTGTAGGAAGAAAGTCATCAGTAAAGCCATTAAATCAATTAACACTCCATGATTAATTAGACTTAAAATTTGTCAGGAGAGGAACAAACTGATTAAATTCACAGATGGCTTTCCCAGTGAGGGTCCATGTTTCAAACCCCAGTGTATTTCGCACCTCTAAGTGACATTTACAACTCACACAGGTAACGTTTAGTTTTCTCTGCTTTTGATCCCTAAATGAGCTTTTTAACATCTGTTACATCTTTGTTTGCAGGTGACACAGGTATTGTTTGTTATGATGGACGATGGTGACCTTTCTCTTTTCTCTTTGATGACCTCCTAAGGTAATATCTTTTTTGAAAATGGATAATTTGTCCAGTGTGGTTGAGTGCATAATACTCTTGTTTTTTTCTTTCTTATGATATTCTGTAATTTTTGTTTATAGATTTATATTTGTAACAGATTAAAACATGTAATCATGAATCCATATTATATTTAATTACCATGGTAGTATAGAATTATTTCAGTGTGAATTTACATTCTCTAATTATAATCAAGAATTTTGACTTTTAAGCGGATCATTATTTCTAAGAAAATTCACCCTAAATCACCACCATATGCAGCTTGCCCCTTGGTCAATCTTTATTGATTAATTCTGAATTATTACTCCTTGCAGGCCTGAGTAAATTCCATTGATGAATCCATCTTGTTTCCCAGCATGTTCATCCCAACCATAGCTGCATGTGCAGTACTGTAAGAAATTTATCCTTTTTAATCATTTATGATGTGATTCTGTTGAAGTATTTGAAAGGTAAACAAGTTTTTGTGTATAAAATTTTTTAAAATCTGTAAGGAAAACTGCTTTAATTGGTCTTTCATTTTAAAAGACTAAGATTCCTCTTAACATGAATTTTTAGAGAGTTTTGTTGACATGCCCCAACAGAAAAAAAAATGGTGTCAGTTTCCGAAGAATTGTTCAACTGTACTAAGGTTATTCCCATTTTTTGAACATTCTTCTTCAGGTGAATTAAAGTAAACAGGATATCTCTGGTGGCTGGGTGTAGCCGGGACATCAGAATCTGAAGTTCCGCGTTATCAGTGTGTATTCATTTCTTATCTGTAACAATTCCTTTATGTTCATCTGTCATTTTGACAGAGACGTGCTTAGGTTTTTGTTTTTCTATTTCTGTTGATGTTTTAATTTTTCATTCAGGTTCGCTAGGCCTTTGTTTGGAGGTAAAGCATTAGTACTTCAAAAAGAATCCTAGCGGAGCAGGCTAGATACCCAGTAAAGCAGTGTGGTGTTCTGTTTTCTTCTGAGGAAGGACCCCAGTCCAATTTGTTTGAACCCAGGTATGTTGGAGACTAGAATTCCTGGAAGGTAGTGGGGACAGGTGGGAAAATTTTCTCACATTGCCACCTTTGTTTTGAGTCCTAGTGTGATGTTTTCTTTCTGTCAACAAGATTGTCAAGCTCTTGAGTAGAAGATCATAATTTTTGATTGAAGTAAATTTTTCATGAAATTTCAAAGCTATTATGGACACATTTTAATTAACTAATTTCTATCAACAGAATAGTGTTTCAAAAAGGTAAGCATTTATATTTCCAATTCAGAGACATTTGAAAGTGTTCAAGTTCAACAGCTATATATATGCTCCATCAAAATTATGTCAACTCAGCAATATATGAATTATGCATTCATTGACAAAAAGAAATCTGTGTTTACTCTTTATGTTTCATTGAAAGATCTTTGATCTTTTACACCTTTCTTTTTCAAAGGAAAAAATCAAAGAATGAGACAGCAAAAACATTTTTTTAAAATATTAAATGAGTTCATGTGCCATACTGTAAAAGAAATAACATCAATAACTGAACAGAATGTAGGAATAACCTCAGTTATTGTGAGTTCCAGAACTTGGAACAGAACATGTCTTATCTAAGATGTCAGTTTGTTTTTCTGGGGGGATACTTTAACGAATAATGTGCCCTTTCATCAGGGGTCTTGAAAATTCAGTAATAGTCATCCATTTTCTTTCTAGGTATCCAAACAAATTACAAGCCTATACATCACCAGGGGATGTGTTTTACGACCGACAGTGAAATGTACGCTTGATTGACGGCTTAATCATAGTGGTGCTGGGATACCTGGAAGTTTTCTACCGTGCCGTACCTGTGCCATTACTGAATTATTGGGAAGTTTGATATAACGTATTTGGAGAAAAGTTTTTCTCTTCATCCAATAATTGTGTATGGACCAAAGTTTTCGTTACCTGCAGTTTTTGTAAGAGGTGAGTTTGAGACAGTGTTTTTTCCCCATGGCTCCTGTGTTGTGCAAAATGTGCTGCTCTGATTTGTTTTGCTAGGGGACTTGTTTTTCCTGTGTTGTTTTTAATGCTGCATAGTTGCATGATAATCTGGTGTCTCCAAGGTGCCATCTTGAAGGCAATTAATCCACCACATCTTTCCATATCTGGATAAACACTTTTTTTCTTGACTGTTATTCAATGGAGGTGATGATTACTTAAAATTTAACCTCCTTCATTTTCTGTGCAAACTGTGTAATCAAATGAAAATAAGTTTTACAGCTGAACATATAATTATCTCACCGGAGAGCACCTGCCTAAATATAACGTGCAGCAATATTGCATCTCCCGGATCAACTTATTTTGTCCAAATCATGCTTTGTTAGAATGATAGGGACACTTGAGCTGTGAGTTAAAGGGGCCGGCATGCCAGCTATTTGAGTCTTATGTTGGTACAACACGTAGATTACCGAGATACACCTGTATAATTTACTCTGTCGACATTGGTCGAAATGCAGGTAAAATTACCTGGCATTGCGTATGCCATGTTTGTGCAAATCTTAGGATAACAAAGAGAACTTTCTTTATTCAAACAAACCACTGTTAGAGAGATTTGATTAGGTGAGTCCTTGGCGTGCGTATCCACACAATATTGTCTTGATTAATGCAGCATTGGCTCAACCTAAGAATGCGTAGATTTGCGGTTTGTATTTTTTTGTTCTCTTGTATATTTTGTTTATCTTGCAGTTCTGTTTGTCAAAATTGAAAAATTTTCTTTGATTTTAGCTGTATTCTATGAGTAGCATATGTTTGTTTTTCAATTTTTTACTCATTGTGCTACTTATATCATGTACATATGGTTTCATTGGTTTACCGTGTTTACGTGATATGTTCTAAATCTCATGTATTCAATTAACTTTTTTTACCAGCAAATATATAAGAACTTTTACTCAACATTGCAATGTTTCAGATCTTTGTCACAAAACTAAATAATGGGGTACTCTAAATTTCTTAAAAGCATTTTAGTTTTCAAACCAATTAAAAATTTCATATAGGCTAGGTTTTATGTGATTGTAATGATTTTTCAGACAAGGACAAGTTACACATCTTTATAACTTTTTTTCCCACAAAAGCGAACTGTAATGATATGTCATGTAGTGCATTGTCACAATTAAACACATTTTCAACAGCCGCAGGAATTTTAAATGAATGTAATTATTTCAAGTAATGATTTTGCCATCTTCAAAATAACAGCAATTTTCTTAATTGACTTAAGAGTTGAGGCAATGAAGCAAAAAGTAATTTCTGTGTATAATAAGAGTTTTGGCAGGTTTTTTTATACAACGTACACCATACAAGTAAAGATCAAGAGCAGCTAGCTCTTGTGTTGTTGAAGTGTATAGCAAATCTCAAATGATTTCTCTATTACATTCCCTTTTCTTACTGATTTGATTGATTCATTTTTACCAATTTTTAATGTATTGCTATCCTGCTTCTTAAATTCTTATGTTTTATGCTACGATTTCAGGGTTTTATTCCTAACTTTTAAGGGTTTTATTCCTAACTTAATTTTATCTAAATCCTAGTCTCTACTTTTAAATTTTTATAAAGAATCACCAAGTTCATTGTTTACGCTCTAAAGAGATATTATTTTGCTGACAATATTTTCTGTCCATAATTAAAAGCTTACTTGTGTATCAGCAAGTCAGTATGCGCAGAGGACAGATTTGCTTATAAAGCTGTAAGAATATCCTGCCTTAAACAGTAATGGACTGATACCCCCAACTTTGTGGGGGATCAGGATGTAGGTATAGTAGAAGCAGGGAGTATACTTAGGGGGATTATCTGCAGTTCATGGCGAGATCACAGAGATAGTGAAACTGATCTCCGTAATAAGCCTAAATCCTATTCGGGTCCAAGTAGGGGGTACCGTTTTCTGGGTATTTCACCCGGGGTTGATGCCCCCTTAATGCAGGTCTTAATCCCATCTCGGATTTGTCCAACAATTTGTATTTTTTTCAATTGCACATGTTCAGGTTTCTTCTGAATTCCTAAAGTGATATGATTTACATAATGCGAAATTCCTTTAAAGATTCTTTTCCGAGGGATAAATCACGAAAAAATCTCTCGAGGGCTGTGTATATTGTGCTGCATTCTTAAACACCTGTGTTTGCTCTGGGCCAAGGAAAGGGGATTCATGATCATTTTGGGAACACTTGACTTTAGGGTAAAGATTACTAGATTATGACTTATTTGCAATTCAAATCTCAGGGAATGTTTTGTATTGCTTCTGTAAGGGCACAAATCATTGGTAAAAGCAAGGTTAAGCATTAATTTATTTACCCCTTAATTTGCAACAAGTATTTGAAGAAAATGATGAAAAGCATTCATGTTTCATGTAAGAGGCTTACTCAACAAGGTGCCAGTCATGTACATATACTTTAAGATAATTTCATTTTTTGTAGAGTTCAAGAAATTTTCTTTAAGTATCAAAGAATTTTATTCACTTCTGAGTTCTGAATCAAAAGTTATCTATTTCCATTTTGAGAAAAGTTAAATTCAAGGAGTTACAATTAATTATCTAAGCAAAATAGTTTGCCAGCTGTATTATAATAAGAGGAAGTATTTGAGCCATCATTACAAGGAAATTTTCTATGAGGGACAAGGAGTTGTATTAGGTCTATATGATTGATACATAGCTCTCTTAATTGTCTATTCCAGTCATATACCAAATCTGCAGCGTCATTATTAGTGTATTGACAATTTGATTGCTTTATTGATTTTTCGCTATGGAAGGGTGTTAATTGTTATGCAGAATAATATGGCCCAGCTATGCGCTAATTTTCAACAAATACAAGTTTGTAGTTCTAATCGATTTCTAGTGACAAGATCATGAGAGTAAATGAGAAAATTCATTTAAGTAGTGATTGCTTCATCATATATTTTTCTTATTAATCACTGCATCTTGGCAACTGTACTGACTGATCAATAATTTTTTTACATACGTATAAGTTAATTAGTACTTTTCCTCTCCATTTAGTATATATTACCCAATAAACTTTACATTTTGAATAATTACAACATTTCATTTTTCAACCTATTTTAGCATCTTGTAACCAAATTGTCAACAAATATATGCCAAAGTGATTTGGAAGTTCAAACTACTTATTCTTTAAGCATTATTCCCTCAATATCTAGTCGAAGAATCCTTGGATATCTCGAGGTTTTTTCTTGGTCCCATGAGTTCAAGATAACCAACTTGTAAATATTTGCATGATGTCATTTCATATAATTAAATATAAAGTAAAGTATAAAAGAGAAAATACCCTCTAAACAGAAAGGAGAGGGCCCAGAGTAAGGCTCCAAGAATGCGTGGCATGCTAAGGTCATGTGATCAGTATTGTCCCCCATTCAACTGACCAGCAGGTGATCAATAAATGCGGTCAATTATTAGCCCTGCCTCTATACTTGGCTTTCAAACACATTATGACATGCCTTTTTCGTACTCTTAAAAGGTCCATAAAAGTCATTTTGGGCATGTCAAATTCCTTTTTCTGAGTGGCCTTTAAGGTTGGGGAGAAAGTTGGCTTGGTGGAAAGTGTAAATGGAGGCCTGTCTACACTTATACCATTAAAATGTGATTTGTCCTGTAAATTACATGTAGGTAGACCAGCACAATTGAAGTTTTGCTTCACTTGAAAGACTTCTTTTGTTTTTTTCATATCTTTAATTATGTACTTCTCAAAATACAGTTTAAGATTTTGTTCTCTGTTATGGTCATCAACTCTGCATCCATCATACTCTTGAAATTTAATTATATAAAAATGAAAACAACTGAGGCCTCTTATTTTTACAATGGAGATAAATGTTTTTGCATTTTACATTAAGCGCTGAAGGAATTCCGTTATTGTACAAAAAAACCAAACTTCAAAGAAAGGGTCTTTGTCTGATTATACTTAAATAAGGAGCATTCTTACTATTCTCAAGGACACATGATTGGTTTAAAAAAGTTATAATGATCCTCTCTTCTTCTGAGACCCCCTTGGAGTTGGTAATTTGCATAATTAAGAAATAAGTCACAGCCTGAAATATACCTGTCATGTATATCTTGTATATTATGTGTAATTATTGTTTTTTTTATACCTGCCATATATATTTTTACCTGATGTCTCTATAAACAGCTTTTTAAAGTATCTGATAGTGTGTATCCTTAGCCTCCATTGATTTTTTTCTAACGGCTATCTGATCCTTTGGTGTATGATGTAGGAATATGATATCAGTGCTGGAATTTCAGTCAGTTGTACCTATTAAGTGTAGATCCTATGTCTTGATTATCAAGCCTCAGCTGTGGGACTGTTATTTATGATATAGTGTAACAGGTACCTGTGTGTTGTGGCTTCATTTGTGCTGGAATTTTCACTATAGATTGTTCCATCCTTGTTACATGTATCCCTATTTCCTTAACTAAATGTCTGTACCTGTGATTGTTTTCCATTAATCTTGATTGTTCAATGTATCTGCCTTATTGCAGTACCCCTCCCCCCTTTTCAATTTCCATAATCTTCCCTTTCCTTGGTATTGTGTAAGACAAGTATGTATCACTGTTTGGAAATGGAATTTAAAGAAGATAAACTTGATTTTTCCTTACATTACAACCCTTCCATTAGTTATATTTTGTACTATTTGTGACCATGTTTTAATTTATGGTCTTCAAAACAATTGTTAAATGATATGAACTTCATTGTACATAATCAGAGTGGAGCCACAGTTGACCTCTTTGGCACAATTCTCTGTGTGCCTTGTATAAAGCATTATCTAAACTTCTGCATAAGGGTAGGATTGATTCTGCTAAACTTTGGGTTAAAGAAGTTCAGCAAAAGATGAGTTGTGTATTCACCGAGATAAGAGCTATAGCCTTTATCAGGTGCGTCAGATCTGAGTAAATACACCTTTGTATTCCTGTGGTGAGGATTTAACAATGAATT